CAGACAGTTGTCATTAATTTTGGTCAACTATGAAGTGGACCGTACCGCAGGCCCTGCGACATTTTCATGACAATTTAACACACGCTCACAGCAACGACAACAAAAAGACAGAAAAACTGAACAGAGTTTTCCATTTGAGCCAAATAATACACAATGTAATGGCAGCCAAAAAACATACAGCGGAGAGAAGAGGAGTGGCGAGAAGAGGAGAGGAGAGGAAGGGTCCGAGGAGTGGCAGTGAAATGCCATGTCCGTGGAGCGTAATCGATGCGGCTCACATTAGATTGTTGCCTCGAATTGTGTGGGGACCAGCAGCAGTGCTCAAGTGTTTCTCCACGTCCAAGTCCTGCTCCTGCTCCTGCTCCTGCTCCCTTCCACCACCTTCCACTGCCACTTTTTATCCCAAGCTGCTGCTTCGTTTATCATTTGCTGTTCACTTGTCGAAATTTTATTGCTGCAATCTTGTTTGTCATCGTCGTCTCCATCGTCAAAGGAGAGCGCACGCTGGGGGACATTTGGAAATGCCTTCGTTTCGTATACATATATATATATATATATATATATATATATATATCTCAACTTAAGGCCAGAGGCGTAGCTCTTGACGAATCTGGGACTGTTTCCTGCGAAAGGATATCGCCATCTACGCAACTGGATACTCGATTACCCCCTCGCTCTGTCTCTCTCTGTTTCGTGTGTGGACAACAATGTCCAGTCGAGGCTGTTGCTCTGGGTCGCCGGACTCCGTGGAGAGCAGGATATGCGTCTAATAAGCGTGTGTGTTGAGTAAGCGCATTACGTATACGTAATATATATAATACGAACGAGTGGTATATATCAACTGTCGAGCAATTTAAAGTGCTCTCTAGTCTACCCTTTCCTTTCCTTTCCTTGCGTTTCCTTTTCTCTCTATTCCTTCCCTTTTGGTTGGACTTTAAGGTTGTGCTTGAACAACAATGAGAGCAAATATTTCAAGAAAATTAGTTTCTTTTGTTTTTTCCCCCAAGAGACAGAGACAAAGGGCGGACCATTTTTTCGCAATCAGCGAAAGGAGCAACCATAAAAAGGCAGAGAGAAAAAAAATCAATAAAGTGCAGTTAATGCAAGGGATTAAAGATATCTGTGGGAGGAAAGCCGCAGGATAAATGTTATCTTCTAATTAAATGGGAAACCAACTATTTTCCATTTCCTTTCCAAGAATAGAAGCAATCTTCAGGACAGAAATCTATTTTAGTTTCGGCCACATACGAATCCCGCTTAGCATTTATGGCCCAGACACGCACAAGGACATGCCACATGCCACATGCCACATGCCCCACACAGGCGGGCAACAACTACATGTGTCAGCATGAAAGGCAATGAATTGTTTTTATGTGCTAATGTCCCCCGAAAGTCCGAGACCCGGGCAGGGCATTTCCTTGGGCATTCCCATCACGTAAGGCGATTTGATTTCAATTTTCCCAGATTCAACTATGGCCCTCTATCCCTTGCCCCCGCCCCCAAATGACTTGGCAGCTTTTGTCGGACACCATTGCGTATGGTTAATATGATTTAAGATAATCGCTGGGAATTTCTGCCACTCGAAAGAGTGGCACTGAGAGTGGGGGTGTAAATCTCAATTCGGGCCAAACACAATCGCTAAGTCGTTCTGGTTGTAAAATTATATTTTTGCAAATTTAATAATTCGATTTTCGAATAGAATGATTTCATTGAAGTGGGATTTTCCCACACCTAAAAATAAAGCTCAAAAGTCACCCGTTCGTTCCGCTCCATTGATAAATATCTGCGCAAAGCATTGTCGTCATTTATAAGAAATCTTCGCCTTATCACGAGTGGCAGGGCGGAGTGCTAGACGTCTGCCGCCTTTTGATTTCTTCGAGTGCGTTTAATTGAAAGCCTGCGGTGTATCCACTAAGTAATCTAATAGATTTCCCACAATCACAGAAAAAACAACAATAGGCCGTTGGTGGAGGTGAACGATAGCCGGAGATACCAAATAGGCCAAATAGAAAGCCCTGCTGATAATGCCAATATCTCTCAAATGATAACCAGAACTACACTGAAAGAAAAGTGGCATAGCTAAAAGAAAAACACTCATGTTTGAGTTAAATATTCGGGTTTTCAATGCAAACATAGGGGACAATTTTATAATTTATATATGAAATATATTTTTTTTAAATATGCAAAAAAAAGTACTTTAAATTTTAAATATATTTAAAAATATTTAATTTAAATATGGATAATATTTTGTTTAAATATTTTCAGTTTGAGGTCAAAATGTAAGTGAAAACAAGTACACTCTCGCCGCAAATCTATTGGTATACATTTTTAAATTTAAGTGTAAATATTTGATTCTGAGGGCTGTTTTCTCTGAGTGTGCATACATACATATGTACATCCTTTCCGTAGAAAGCGGGAGATAGAAAAATGGCAGGCGTATGCTGCTTATGTTTTTCGAGTTAAAAAGCCACAATTCACGCGCGCCGATAAGCGCCAAAAAAAAAAGAAGAAAACAAAAAAATCAAACGTTCGAAATAAACAGAAATGACTTGGTCAAAACACAAGAGGCACGGCACGGCCCGGCAGGCCACGGGCAGGGCACTCTGATAAGCGATTTATATAAAAAGAACCGTTTGGTCAGTTGGTGGACATTCATTCGATCATCATGAAAGTGCTCGTAGTCTTCGCTCTGGCTTTGGCCTCCGCCTCCGCCGGCCTGCTGCCCCAGGTTCTGCCTGTGCATCCCCGTGACCTGCCGGTGGTGCCCTCGATCGAGGGTCGTATCACCAACGGCCAGGCCGCCTCGGAGGGACAGTTCCCCTACCAGGTGGGACTAAGCTTTGGCAGCTCCAGCGGCAGCTGGTGGTGCGGTGGATCCATCATCGACAACTCCTGGGTGCTCACAGCTGCTCACTGCACCAGCGGGTAAGGAAAACTCTTTCTCTCTCCAGCCTGCTAGAGCACTCTGACAAAAGATCCTACTGGCTTTCTTTAGTGCCTCTGATGTGACCATCTACTACGGCGCCACTGTTCGCACCAACGCCAAGCTCACCCAGACCGTCTCCAGCTCCGGCTTTGTGCAGCACGCCAGCTACAACAGCGTTGTCCTGAGGAACGACATCTCCCTGATCAAGACCCCTGCCGTCAGCTTCACCTCGGCCATCAACAAGGTGGCTCTGCCCTCCATTGCCAGCAGCTACTCGACCTATGCCGGCGACACCGCCATCGCTTCCGGCTGGGGCAAGGACTCCGATGCTGCCACCTCCGTGACCAACACCCTGCAGTACAGCGACTTCACCGTTGTGACCAACGCCGTGTGCGCGAACACCTACGGCTCGCTGATCATCACCGGCAGCGTCATCTGCATTGCCACCCCCAACAAGATCTCCACCTGCAACGGCGACTCTGGCGGCCCATTGGTCCAGAAGAGCACCAACATCCTGATCGGCGTCACCTCCTTCGTCTCGAGCGCTGGCTGCGAGTCCGGCGCCCCAGCCGGCTTCTCCCGCGTCACCAGCTTCCTGGACTGGATCCAGTCCAACAGTGGAGTCTCCTACTAAGCAGAGCAGCAGCACTCTTTTTTTTGCCAAAATAAAAAAAACCGATTATAATCTATAAAATGTACACGATGGATTTTGTTTTGGGATAATGGGGAGGGGTTACCAATATTTTAGGGACTTTTTGTTGATTAGAGTAATTATAAGTAGATAGAATACTTCTGTAGTTCTTATCTTAGTTTCCTCTATCTGCTGTTGTATTTAATCAAAGCACTTGAGAGACTCTGATACGCTTCTATAGAATTTCATAATAACAATTATACACACAATAGAATCGGAATTAAGTTACGAGTAGCATTAATTATATTTCTAAGAAATAACACGGGGCAACGATTCATCAACTATAAAAATTGGATTGCCGCCTTTATACTCATCGGTACTATCCAGCGAAAATCTATCTGAACCGACTTCCAATAATCAATCCTATTAGGCCTCCTCGATCAGAAACCTAATTACCAATCACTTCCCTAAGATCATAATAATCTCGATGCCCAGTCACATACGTATAATCCACAACCGACATATCAAATCCAAACAAACCGACCTCCACACAAAAGCCTCTAACTGGCACCAACAAACGAGCAAACTCTTTTCCACTAACCCTCCCCCAAAAAACACTAGTCTAAATCGAAGACACCAAGTCATCATACACACACTAAGAAAAAATCCAGCACAATATACATATGTATAACCAAAACTCTAAGAACTGTAAATACTCCTTCCCTCCATATCTGTATATATGTATATAATCTGAATGGGTTAAAGGATTAAAGAAACTAGCTGAGAAGAGAAAATCCTCCTCACTGTTAAGCTTCAAGAAAACACTTTCAGTTTTTCAGTTGAGAAATCTGAAGAATTATCATTGAAATATCACCAAAGATACTTAGAGTGTTATACAATGAAATGTATGAAGGATCAAAATGTATATTGCAAACAAACTGAGACAAACTGCCACAGAAATGCCGACATCTTTTGTTGTATACTTTTCAGTGCTCAAAAAAAAGAGAAAGAAATAAAACATAAAAACATCGATATCAGGAGATTCATTAAAAACTTCAAATTGTTTAGCCCCGTCATAAATTGTAATCTTATTTTAGCACATTCTTCGATCGTGGAAAGAGGTTCGGAGTCGATCACTGAGCGATTAGAATACTGGCACTCGCATTCGCATTCGCTGTCCGTTTAATCGCATCAAATCTCTTAAGATGCAGAACGATTAAAAGTTCCAGACATCGCGGTGCTCGTATCTGCAAACTGATAAAATATCCTGCAACTGTGCAAAGACACACTGATTAGGTGGTCAAATTTATGATCGAAATAAACGACAGGTGACTAGCCTGATTAGACCAAAGGGGCCATGGGCAATGGGCCATGGGAATGGGCCATGGGAATGGGTATATAATGGGCAACCAGTCGATGGAGTAATCATTCGTTAAACGATCAAACAAACATGAAAGTTCTAGTAGTTCTCGCTCTGGCTCTGGCCACCGCTTCCGCCGGCGTCTTGCCCAAGACGTTGCCTGTGCATCCCCGTGACAGAATTGTGAGCCCATCGATCGAGGGTCGCATCACCAACGGCAAGGACGCTGTGGAGAATCAGTTCCCCTACCAGGTGTCCCTTAACTTTGCGAGCAACAGCGGCGGCTGGTTCTGCGGTGGCTCCATCATTTCCGCCGAGTGGGTCCTCACTGCTGCTCACTGCACCAGCGGGTAAGTGATCGAGGAATTCGCATGGAACCAATACTAACCGATTTCGCCCTGCTTTAGTGCCTCCTCTGTGGTCGTCGGCTATGGTGCTACTGTCCGCACCGCCCCCAAGTTGACCCAGACTGTGACTAGCTCGAACTTCATCCAGCACGCCAGCTACAACTCGATTATCCTGCGCAACGACATCTCGCTGATCAAGACCCCGGCTGTTGCCTTCACCGCGGCCATCAACAAGGTTGCCCTGCCCGCCATCTCCAGCAGCTACTCGACTTATGCCGGCCAGACCGCCGTCGCCTCCGGCTTTGGCAAGACCTCCGATGCCTCCAACTCCGTGGCCAGCCATCTGCAGTACGCCGAACTCACCGTCATCGCCAACTCCCTGTGCGAGCAGACCTTCGGCTCATTGATCGTCACCGATAGGGTCATCTGCGTTGGCACCTACAACGGCGTGTCCACCTGCAACGGCGACTCCGGCGGCCCCCTGGCCCTCGATGGCACCCAGATTGGTGTCGTCTCTTTCGGCTCCAGCTCTGGCTGCGAGGTCGGCTCCCCCGCTGGCTTCACCCGTGTCACCTACTACCTGGACTGGATCGCGCAGAACACTGGAATTTCTGGCTAAATGAAATTCTAGAAAGTTATTCTTCCGATCAAATAAAATGCATGAAAAAATCCCGTACTCCATTGCCTATTATCATTATTTTACGGATGAATTGTTATATTCTTGGATAGAGAAGTTCTACAAATTTAATTCAATCTCTCTCTCTCTCAATCATTATTGCGAAAGGAACCTTCGACTGAAATGAAAAGGTTTGGCTCAGTTTTAAGTGTTTCCAATAGCATTAATATTTGAGGGATATGAAATGGTACGAAAACGAATAGATTTCCCCATTTCTGGAACACGTAACTCAGAAAAACCGAACCCGATTATGAGCTGCTAGTTCTGGCATCTATAAAAACCATAAACTAAATTGGGTTTTAGAAATCAAGACATTCCCGAACAAGATCCGTTCAGTTTCCATAGAAAGACGATTTTACACAACCACAAAATGGCATGGAAAATGGAAACACAGCCGTTATTAAATGAAATATTCGGTAAATATTAAATAAAACAAATAGTAAAGTCTAAGATAAACACGAATGTATTAAGTGGACTTTAAAATTTGACCCATATTTAATCTTTTGAAAAAAATACATTAATTTAGAAACAATTTTTGTATCTAAATATGAAAATAATTTAATTTAAATTTTAGGTGTATTTATTAAAATTATGAAATATATATTAAAAATGCAAGTTTTCTTATTAATTCAACATTTTAGGGAAAATCGATTGGTACTTGTACTTTTTAAAATCTTAGCTTAAAAAGTATGCATTCTATGAATTCTATATATTTTGAATTCCCCGTAGAGCGGCCAATAAATAGAAAACCCACAATATTCAACCGATAAGAAAGGTCCCAGTTCTGTTTTAAACTGGAGAGATATGAGAAATCATGATAATATGGGGTGTGTCTGGGATTCCGGAAAAAAATTGCCGTTCTGTACAATTGAGGTGCATTGATATACGGTCAAATAAAGTTATCAGATGGTGGTGAGGGGATTGTAAATTAAGTCTTAACTTGAGGTGAATGCTTTTGAACAGCGGCAATGATATGGTCCGGTTCGGAAGCCGCCTATATAAGCCCCTCAATACCGCCATTGTGATGATATTCGTTTAACATGAGAGTGCTTGCAGTTCTGATCATTGCGGGGATTGCCTTGGCGGCAGCCCTGGAGGAGGCCGTGCCCGTGAAGGACATGCCCGTGGGCAAGAATGTGAACGGACGCATCACCATGGGCTATCCGGCGACCGAGGGCAAGGTTCCGTATATTGTGAGCCTGGTTTTTAGCAATGAAATCGGCGCATCCTGGTTCTGCGGCGGCTCCATCATTGACCACACGTGGGTCCTCACTGCCGCCCACTGCACGCACGGGGCCAGCTCTGTGAAGATATCCTATGGCTCCGTGTGGCGCAACCAGCCGCAGTTCACGCATGTGGTGCAACAGGGGGACATTGTGCAGCACGAGGCATACAGCACGACGACCATCAACAATGACATCTCCCTCATCCGCACTCCGCACGTGGACTTCTCGTCGCTGGTCAACAAGGTGGAGCTGCCCCGCTACGAGGATCGCTACAACAACTACTACGGCTGGTGGGGCCTGCTCTCCGGCTGGGGGAAGACCTCCGACTCCAGCGGCGTCGCCGACTACCTGAACTGCGTCGACATTCAGATCGCCGACAATTCCGTGTGCGAGGCCCACTACGGCACCACGACCATCACGCCCAACCATGTGTGCATCGCCACGCCCGAGAACAAGGGCTCCTGCAGTGGAGATTCCGGTGGTCCCCTGGTCCTGCACGACGGCAATCGCCAGGTGGCCATTGTGTCCTTTGGCTCTTCTGCTGGCTGTCTGTCGAACAGTCCGAAGGGCATGACTCGCGTCACTTCATACTTGGATTGGATCCGTGACCACACGGGCATTTCCTACTAATCAATAAATGACTTGTGAATAAAAATAGAAAGCATTAAATGCATTCCCATTTCAATCAAGAAACGCTTAAATAAATGCTTGAAAATGTTGCAGACTTCGATTGGATGTGCGATCGCCGTTTACTTGGCAATGACAAAGGGACCCTTCAGCTTGGCGGCATCGCGCTGCTTGAACTCAATCTGGCTAGCGATGCGATCCAAATCTGGGAGCTGGTCAATATCCCTCACTGTGACAACTGGCATCTTTCTTGTTAAAGTCAGCCGGAAAAAAGTGTGTGATAAATGGGGATGGAATGGTATATATTCAGTGACAGAGTCACTTATCCTTCAAATTATGAGACCAGATTTTTTTCCATTTAAAAACATTTAATTCTTCAAAGTAGTGCTCGCTTAGTAAGAAATTCCAGTGTGATCACGAATCCAGTCCAAGTAGCTGGTGACACGCACCATTCCCTTGGGACCATTGGACAAGCAGCCGGCGGAGGAGCCAAAGGACACTATGCCTACCTGGCGATTGCCGTCGTGGATGACCAGGGGACCGCCAGAGTCGCCGCTGCAGGTGCCCTTGTTCTCGGGAGTTGGGATGCAGATCAGATCGCCCGAGAAGCTGCCGTAGTAGCTCTCGCACACAGAGTTAGGGCCGATCTGGACATCCACGCAGTTCAAGTACTCGGAGACGCCGACATCGTCGGAGGTCTTGCCCCAGCCGGAGACCAGCGCCCACCAGCCCTGATAGTTGTTGTAGCGATCGTTGTAGCTCGGCAGCTCCACCTTGTTGACCAGCGACCAGAAGTCCACGTGCGGGGTTCGGATCAGAGAGATGTCGCCGGAACCATGCTCGATGAAGTCGTTGCGTCCCACCCAGTGGGTGTACTGGGCCTGGAGACGCCACAAGGCGCCGTAGTAGATGGTCACCGACTCCATACCGTCCGTGCAGTGCTTGGCGGTCATGACCCAGGTGTTGCCAATGATGGAGCCACCGCACCAAGTGCCGCCGCCATTCTTGCTGAAGCCCAGACCCACAATATAAGGGACCTTGCCCTCGTGCGCCGGATAGCCCATGGTGATGCGCCCCTCAATGGAGCCCTTGCCCACGGGCACATCCTTCCAGAACACTGGTTTCTCGAATGCCGACGCGGAGGCAATCACTCCCAAAAGCAGAACCGCCAGCAGCTTCATTCTGATTCAAATACTTATTGGAGGCTACTGAATGATCGCTGGGAGTTATATACCATACCCCTCGGTACTGCGCAAAATTTTGCCGGAAATCAATATAAATGTTAAGACCATATAATTTACAATATGCAGATAAGCACAGCCACCATTTTAAAACATATACTAATGTAAATGTCCGTTTTATCTATGTATATGACTAAAGAAACTTGACGAAATCTTCAGACAATAAATGTTTAGCTATCGATTAGATTTAATCATGTTTTTCCCTTATCAGCTTGAATAAAATTTAATATAATTGAAAATACATATACATATAACCAATACAGGTATTATTTGAAAATAGCAATGGGCGCGACATTCAAATTCATCGACCTTCCTAACACAGGCGCCACCTGGTGCATTTTTCTCCATAATACCACGGTACGGGCCCACTACATTCGATATCGATATTGGTATCGATAGACTTCATATGGTTTTAGGCACTCTGGCAGCTCTTAAAAAAATAAACATTTTTTGAGCAAAAAAATTTTAGCAACAAAAATACGCACAGCAGGCGCTAAAACTATAGCCACAAACTAGTGTGTCGCTTATACTTGACATTAATTCCTTCGCTCAAAGTTTCGAACCGTCGGATTGTTCGAGAATTTGCCGCCCGGTGGTGGCAATCGTCGTGTGACCAGAAAAACCCCCCCCAGGAGATTACCGACAGACGACCACAAAGGGTAAAGTTAAAGCTAAAGGAAATGCTTGGTTCCGCGGCCAACAAACAGTCGTAATGGATAACATTGTGCATAACTTTGCCAACATCACATTTCAGCCGAAAGAAGTCGGATTGTCGGAGAATCGGTGAGTGTCTCACACGAACCAAAATTAAGTCAAATTTTAATTTCCTTTCGCAGCTCCGGTAGCAGTAGCAGTTTCTCGTGGAGCCTGAAGCCCATGGCTACGGCCATGTCGGACGTGGAGGAGATGCAGGATGCAGGGTCCAAGGAATCGGAGGCCAGCGAGAGCAGTGATCAGTCCGATGAGGTGGACTCGCAGCTGAGCCGCGGGGAGGACGATGACAGCGACTGGCACAGCGGGACCACCCGCAGGGGCGGCGTGGCTCGGCGCCGCATGCCAGCACGCGTTTCAAAGGACAACTTCAACCGCGTCTGCAGTGCCATCATGAAGCCCATAAAGAAGAACCGTCGCAAGGAGCTAACCACCAATTCACAGACACTCAAGAGCATCGAGAAGATATACACCAACAAGCGCATGAAGAAGTTTACGCCCACGAATCTTGAGACAATCTTCGAGGAGCCCAGCGACGAGAATGCCGCCGATGTGGAGGACGACAGTGAGGAGTGCTCGATCAGCAGCCAAGTGCGAATTGTGAAGTTTGGCAACCGAAAGCTGCGACGCGCCATTTCCTTCAGTGACGGACTGAACAAGAACAAAATCCTGTTGAAGAAGCGACGCCAGAAAGTGAAGAAGACCTTTGGCAAACGCTTCGCCTTAAAGAAGATCTCAATGACCGAATTTCACGATCGTCTCAACAAGAGTTTCGACAGTGCAATGCTCGAAGGCGACGAAGGCGATGCCGGAGCCGGTCCCGGAGGAAGAAACGCTGAAGCCAAGACTGCCATGACCATGGACGACATACAGCTGCACACACTGAGCCAGTACCACATGCACCAGCCGCAGCAGCAGCCGCAGCCGGCGGCTTTCGAGTAGAGAGAGACTGAAACATCTACATACATATGTACGTAATATCATTATTGCACTCGGATAGATTGTGTCACTGTTTTACACCTTACACCCATTGCATAAATTACAATAGATATTACGAATAGTGTCCAAATATAATGTGACCGCAGGGAGTTCCCATTGAATGCTGCTGGGCCTGCAATCTCGCATGCGGTCACCTGTACTGATACCAATTATTGAAACTAGGATTACCGACCGATCGTTCACATTATTTCATTGCGCGCCCCTAGCCCTAGCTATAGATCATCGTTGCAGGAGTGCCGTCGAGCGTTTCATTTGGGCCGTTTCACATTTGGAGGTGAACTACTCAAACCCATTAAAACTATCCTATCCACCCCATGTGTATGTAAATAGCAAGTAATTTAAACTTATCATCCAGCCATAGAATACGATTCTGTGCGTAGTACGTAAGTGCAAAATAAATGTTGTAAGAAAATGTGAAACACACCATTCTTTTATAAATGAAATGCGAAACGGAAGCCCTGAGGCATTCGCCAAAGCGACGACGCACAAGGAGAGGTGGCGTCGCAAAATGCGAAAATGTTGGGGAATAGTGCGAAATTAAATAACGGCAGAGGCATTAGCAAGTGCAATAAAATGCAGCAACAAAAACGCGCCCATTATTAATGAGTGCAGTGCAACATGCAACGGGCAGCGCAGCCCCGCCGCGGCGGCGTGGTAATCACAATTCGCGATTATGCTTATGCATTGGTTTGGTTGGGTATCGACGCACAGCACGAAATCGAACTGCACAACAAGCGCAGCAGGTGGGGTGTTATGATGCGGGGGGATAGAGAAAGGGGGGCGGGGCGGGTGTAGAGCATGCATTTGCATAATCATTGTATTGTTGCTGTTGCTACTGCAGTGGATTATGTTTTTTTAGCCTCATTACCGACGAATTCGATTCGAACATATCACCGAGACGATTTTGTTTACTTGCTTGGCTAGGCGCAGACCAGACCGCAGCAGTACCAGTAATTTCCTAAATAGACAGGCAACAGAAATACTTTCAACACCAAATAAAAGTTATTTCTGGCAGCCGCAGGCGGTGCACGAATTAATTTAATTAAAAGTACATATTTTTAATGCTGCACTTCCATTTCCTGCTAAGAATTCTGCACATGCCACATGCAACCAACCAGCCCATCAATGGAAAACTGTTAATTTGTTTACGAGCCACACAGCAAATGGCAAGCATGCGACAGAAAGACCCGGCAATAACCTTGAGATTGGCAGAGTCAAAGAAGCTGCACAGTGGGCTGTGGGAATATCAACTGTTTTCCTACACCCACGCAGGGAAAACAGCACCTCAACATGCCACAGGCCACTGTGCGAAGAGATGAAATGCGAGACACCAGACATGCAAAATTATAACTGTATCGTGTAATCTTATTGTTTTACTCACCGCTAGTCGCTCGCCCTCTCTCTTTCTATCTCGCGTTTTACTCAATGAAAGCATTTTCACTAAAGAGATTCCCTCTTACTGCATAATGAAGATTAAGAGAGTAGAGCACTGTACGCGTGATGTAATAGCACCAAAGCGGGGAGATATCTAGAGTTACAGCCTCAAACACAATTTAAATGGTAAAACAACTAGGCAGCAGCACCATACACACACACACACACGCGTGGGTATTTTCGCCACTATGTCAAGAGGGAGACAACCGATCAAAAGGGCAGCCGAACTTTGAATGAATGAGGAAGAAGGAGATGGAGAGAAAGAATGCAATGCCCTGTGTGACTCTGTCAAACGGTAAAAAGCGCAAGCGTGACCACATCATAGCTGCAGTGGAAGGTGGAATGAAGGAATATGATGAGAGTAAGCGAGAGTGAGATGAGAGCATATGCAGATTGACATGCAGTCAAATTAAATGAAATTGATGCAACTGCAATACAATTGCGAGCACAAAATGCGGCTGCAGCGGCGGAGGTAGCAGCAGCGGTGGCGTTGACGGGGCCAAATTAATGCAGCAAAATAGACGAAATAATTAAAGTGGTTCGAAGAAATGGCTGGTGAAAGAGTTTATAAAAATGCTGGCAAGCGGCGCGCGCCGCACCAGTACCTTGCGAGACGCTCGTCGGTGTTCATGTCAGTGGCAAGTGGCAAGGTGGCAAGCAATAAAACAGCAGCAGCAGCAGTAGTAGCGGTAGCAACAGAGATTACAAACGCGTTGTCCAGCGTAACGGCTTTTCGAAACGGGAAAACAGCGCAGTGACCGACCGACCGATCGCGCGAGAGTTAAGGTGCGGCGGTGGCCAATGTATTAAAGGAGGAAGCAGTGCAAAAGTGCCACTAAATTAATCGCAATTAACAGTTAAATGCGTGCGCGAACAAAGCAACGCAAATGTTTACACAATCAGCAGGTGCCTCCTCCTCCATTGTTGCCACAATAACGAATCACATTCGGAGGCGATCCCCAAATCGGAACCACACCACGCCTCAATCGGAAACGAAGCTGCTCACCTGGATTGCCCTGCTCTATGCCGCCTCCACCTCCCTCGGCGGCTTGGCAGCGGCACTGGACTGGCAACAGGTTAAGCCAATGTATTTAGTGTCCATGTATCCGGGACCGTTCGGCATGGCCATGTCGCAGTCTCCCTCTTCCTCCTCCTCCTCCACCATTTCCTCCTCCATGGAACAAGATGCGGAAACGAGTGCCAGCAACCTGGAGAGCCGCATCAATGGAGGAGGAAATGGGAATAGCGACGAAGATGTGGATGTAAAGGAGCCCTTGGTCTTAAATCTGGAGACCACACCGCTGCTAGAGAAGATGCTGCCCGAAGGGGCCATGGCCATGGATCGCATATTCGGCGGCAACGTGGGCAATCCTCACTGCTTCCCCTACCAGGTGGGCATGTTGCTGCAGCGTCCCAAGGGTCTGTACTGGTGCGGAGGCTCTCTGATCTCCGATCAGCATGTGCTGACTGCGGCACATTGTGTGGACATGTAGGAATGGTATGATATCTGCCACAGAACCCATTCGTTAACCGATTTTTTCCCTGCAGGGCCAAACGCGCTCTGGTCTTTTTGGGCGCCAACGAGATCAAGAATGCCAAGGAGAAGGGTCAGGTGCGAATGATGGTGCCCAGCAGTAATTTTCACATATATCCCACATGGAATCCCAAGCGTCTGAAGGATGACATAGCCCTGATTCGACTGCCCCATGCTGTTAGCTTCAACGGTAAAATCGAGAGATTTTCAGCCTATAGAGGAAGTAATACCCTTTAAATTGAATTCCAGAACGCATCCACCCCATACAGCTGCCCAAGCGGCACTACGAGTACCGCAACTTCAAGAACAAGCTGGCCATCGCCTCTGGCTGGGGACGCTATGCCACTGGCGTCCATGCCATCAGCAATGTCTTGCGGTATGTCCAGCTGCAGATCATCGATGGGCGGACATGCAAGACGAACTTTCCGCTCTCCTATCGCGGCACCAATATCTGCACCAGCGGGAGAAATTCCCGCTCCACCTGCAATGGAGATTCTGGCGGACCACTTGTTCTGCAGCGAAGACAATCCAAGAAGCGAGTGCTGGTGGGGATCACCTCCTTTGGCAGCATATATGGCTGCGATCGCGGATATCCGGCCGCCTTCACCAAGGTGGCTTCGTACCTGGACTGGATCAGCGACGAGACGGGCGTCAACTCACATCAGGACACAACAGAGGCGATTTTCTTCGATCAGTATATGAGGGACTATGGCAAGCCCCGCCAGAGTCGAAGATTGGAACAGCAGCAGCAGGAAGATGAGCAGGAGGATGATCAGCCAGATGAGCTGGACGTGCGTCCCAGCTCCGACGAGGACCTCTCCGAGGATGTCAGCATGCGTACGCATAAGCGCCAGCGTCCTCGTCCTAGACCCAAGTCCGAATACGAGTTTTACTTCTTATAATCCAAAATAAACATTTATTTTTAAATAAGCTGATATAATAACATCCTCGAAATTAAAAAAGATACCTTCTTCCTCTTTTTTCCTATGCGAATTATGTAAATCATAGAATTTTTTTTCAAAGCAATTTTTTTTTTTAAATTTAAAACTTTTTTTTTAATAACAATAAAAAGTTATTGCAAAAAGTAACAAAATATTAAATGTTATTCAGAATCATATTCTAGTCGGATCCAGATCCAAAAGCAGACGTTATGAATTTCTGAATTCTGGTAAAAAGTGAATGTTTTGAGGCAAAAAATTAAACTATAAAAATTATAATCCGAACGAACCAAATTACCAACTTATACTAGTATTAGCCAGGACAAGTGTAGATATTTTAGATAAACTCTACAGAAGAATACTTAAAATATTTAAGGTTGTTCTACAATTGTTATTTCGGGAAAAAAATAAAATAAATATGCAAACAGCTAACTTTCGTGAAATTACTTTATTTTAACACGGCAAAATTCGTTGATGCGCCAGCGAAAGTTATTTATGTGTACATTGAGAGGTTAAATGTTTTGTAAATCGAATGGATAAAATAAAAAAAACCACCTCGCAACCCACAGAAAGGCCAAAGGATGTGGAACCGATCAGGGTGTTGCTGTCGGTAACAGCACTGGCAGCTAATTAGAGTAAAATTAGATTGGAAACCAATTCAAAGAACTCCACGAAAGTACTCACCCAGCTGGAGGCAAAAGCACTCTCCCCGCTGTAGTTTCGGTAGCTGAAGTCCGACGATTTCACGGGCAGATTATCGGGTTGAATGTATTCTAAAAGTGAAGAAGTGAATTACTTATTCAGCTAGAATTCCGGAAAATATAGAGTTAAGTGAATGAAAATCCCCCACCATTCAGTTCAATTGGCACTGGCAGCTTGATTAGGGAAATTTCGTTGCTAAGGGTCTCTGGAGCCCAATCCTCGTGCAAGATCACGTACCGAGTTTGCACAAAGATGATCTGCTGGACTTTCTCCTTGGAATTGGCTCGATTTTGGGTGCCCAGGTAGATATCCACACCGGTGGTCCGTGCAGTGGGCAGAGGTCACAATCCAACGATCGCTGATCAAGGTTCCGCCGCACCAGGTAGCTCCTCCCTCAACGTAGGCGATGCGTCCCACTTGGTAAGGGAACTGGTAGAAGAGGCCAATGCATCGGTCTCGATGTTCAGATTCTTCACGGACTTCCAATCCACGGCTTGGGCACCGAGAATGGCGATCAGCAGCACAACCGACGCGCCTGCGAATTTCATTTTGATTATAACTAGATTTGTTCGCAAGAATCGGATGACTTTTATGCTGGGTCTATGGTGCTGCCCACAGGCCAGGAATAAACCAATGTGATTTGCTATAGATTACGACCAACTCTGATAATGGCGATGCTACCAGTCATCGATAAGGTAAAAGAGCGTACATAAAACCAGAACTGTGCCCAGAATGAGTTTTATAGACTTATCATGCTGAGATCTATCTATTCGGAGTAAGCTTATCAAATATAAAGATGCCGAGCCCACGACTAAGGGGATTATAGCGTTTGAACTTTGATCTTATTATAAAAACTCTTTGTTTAACAGATTACTACTATTCCTTCTCACAAAGGACTGCCTGTCAAACTCATACGAAGTTCCCCTTTTGTACTGATCAATTAAATCATGGGGAGGTACTTCTTTTAACAAAAGAGAAACATTTATTTTGAAGACACTTCCGCTTTTAGTTGCCGTAGTTGGCGACGCCAGAGTTGGCCTCGATCCAGTCCAGGAAGGAGGTGATGCGAGTGAACACACCGGGCCATCCCACCTCGCAGCCAAAGGCAATACCAAAGGAGGTGGCTCCGATCAGAGTGTTGCTGCCATCGGCCAACACCAAGGGGCCGCCGGAATCACCGTTGCAGGTGGAGGTACCACCGGTGGTCTTGATGCAGATGTTGGTGCCGCCGACCAGACCCAAGTACCAGGGAGAGCAGCCGCTGTTGGACATGATGGGCACCTCAATGAACTGCAGAATGTCAGTGACAGCAGTGGCAGCTAATCCAAAGAAAGTGGAATGAAATGAACAGGGTTCATCAGAGAGTTCTGCGCACAGGTTACTCACAATCGCTGATCAAGCCCCAGCCGGAAGCAATAGCAGTCTCCCCACTGTAGGTATTGTAGCTGTCGGCCTTTGCCGGCAGTTTGGCGGGCTGAATGTACTCTGTCAAGAGAAGAATAAGCTTAAGAAGGATTCCTAAGAATATAGAGATCTACCATACCATTGAGCTCAATTGGGACGGGCAGCTTAATGAGGGAAATGTCGTTGGTAATGGTTTCAGCAATCCAGTCCTCGTGCACGATCACATTCTTTTTCTCCACAAAGATGATCTGCTGGCCCACCTCCTTGGCATTGGTGCGATCGTGGGTGCCCAGATAGACATCCACCCCGGTGGTCAGGCTGTCTGTGCAGTGAGCAGCGGTCACAATCCAACGGTCGCTGATCAAGGTTCCGCCGCACCAGGCAGCGCCTCCCTGAACGTAGAGGAGTAGTCCCACCTGGTAGGGGAACTGGTTGCGGCTGGACAAGGTGCCACCGGTGATGCGACCCGTGGGTGCACCGTGACGGATCTTCGGGGCATCGGTCTCGATGTTCAGATTCTTCACGGACTGCCAATCCACGGCCTGGGCGCCGAGAATGGCGACCAGAAGCACAACCGAAGCGATAGCGAATTTCATGTTGACTTGAACTAAAGTTTTCACCAAGAATCTGATGGCTTTTATACTGGATTCCCGGACCATGTGTGGATCATATTTCATTGACTATCTGTGCTGTATTACCCAGCGCCTGGAATAAGCTAGGGTAATTTATTACAGATTGATAATGGCGATGCTGCCAATCTTCGATAAGGAAAGGAACGATTGCTATCGATAAGCAACGCCGGAGCGAACCTATAAGTTTCAATTGATTTGGCCCAGAATGAGTTGTATGGCCTTATCATGGCCAGATTTTCCCAATTCGTAGTAAGCTTATCGATCTGAGCCATGACGAGCCCATGACGAAGAAAAATATTGTGAGAAACTATTCAAAGAAAACCCCCAATCTACTATAACCAACAAAAAGCTTATACCAACTTCAGAGAGAGAGGGCTTTGTTTGACGGATTAGTATATAGTTGGATGTATATCTTTATAAATGTTATAATTAACAATCAAAAGCTAAAGATTATGTACTCTTTTCAAATAGTAGGTACTCTGAAGAATTGGAAGTATGTTCTAGAGATTTGATTACTATTTCGCAATCTTATCGCTAAGATAGTCGAGACCGCAGACATCGATTAGCAAGGGAATGTGATTTAATTGTATATTTTATTGAGCACGAAACAATAAATCTATTCTCTTCGGTAATATTCCGATTAGACGATGACATGAAAGAGTTTTGCTGTCCGGTTTCGATGAGCTTCCTGCCGACTCATTCGTTATTCGTTTGTGGCGTCTTCCCCACTCCATTCATTCGCACCTCTACGCCAAGTCCAGCGAATTCATCCAAGCCTAAACGTTTTACTTCCCCTCAATTTAATTAAGAGGCTAAGTATTTCTCAAAACACTTCCAGACTCATTAAAACGTATTACTTATGGAATCCAATAAAATTAATATATAAAAAGTTCGTACACACAAATAAGTTGAGAAAAGGGGGAGGCGGCTAAAACAGAAACAAGAAAACTAAGCGAAACATGAATCAAAACGGAAATGGATTGGGATTTAATGCAATTATTTTTTTGTGTGTTCAATTGAAGGTCGTATTAAAGTTAAAAGACGAAACCTTGCCACGCCAAAAGTTCACAGAGCAAGAAGAGAGAGTCTCCAGAGAACACCCACCGCACATATTCATCCGTAGAAGGACAAGTTTACGCATTTAATTAGCGGCAGCTTTCTAAATGTGGAAAAATCCAAATGACACCTGTCACCAGACAACAGCCTAAGCATGCACACATTAAAAATTAAATTAGCCATATGACACTATCTCGATATACATATACATATGTATCTCTGTTGGAGAGCCGTTCTATGAACTCCCCAACAGCTGGTCAAAAGTCCTTGGAATATCTCCAAAACAGATCTAATTAAAACATTAAATGCGTAGCACAAAACAAAATAAAATAAACGTAGATAAATAAATTCAAATAAAATTAAAAAGGAAGGCTAGCTTCTGTGGGGTCGAATGTTGAAATACACTTGGATTTGGGAGAATAAAAACGGTGCAACACTTGAGAAAGAATTCCATTGGTAAAGGAAGAGTTTTCTTAGTAAATGATTCATTACTAGATGATCCTTATTCGCAATCAAAATTTATAAATGATTCTACTCAAATTTGCATATCGATGACACGTCTTTATCTTTTAATACCAATCAATCAACTGCAAATCTTCAATGCATGTGCAAACTTCTAATCAAATTTATGCAACGCACACTTTTTGCAAGAGTATACAAGAGAACTCGTAAAAATGTAATTTATAAAGCAAGATTAAACTGGTTTGAGGCGGCGCAGCGGTCAAGAGAACAATATTTTGTTGTCGTCCAGTTGTAATGAGGATTGGAAATTATTTGATATATCAAATCAGGGTGCGACTTCATAATTAATATATTGTAAATGCATGCATGTGCCACTGAGCGGTGCGGTGCGGTGCAGTGCGGAGGAGGAGGAGGAGATCCATGTAACAAATGTATCTTTATAATTGAACAGAATACACAAAAATATATATAACTAAGATAAAAACACACAGGCACAAATATTAATTTTGAACAAATTAACAGTTAAGCGAAACAATAAATAATACCCAAGCATCTTTAAAGGCCCGAAACCTGATCGTTCGGCTATATAGAACGCTTAATGTCTTTGACGAGAGTTGAATCCCCTCCTGGTGGCAATTTATGAATGGACTGACGTACATATATGTTCGCTCGTGCACGAATTGAACAAATAATATCTTTGGCTAATTTCCTCGATCCTCGGAATGGTTTGAGCATGAATCACAAGCATTATGCCGCCTTTTGGGGTGTTATTAATAAAGCCCGCGGCTCCCGGTCCCGACCCAGCAGCTGTGCTCGAAGATGTGCAACCACCTTGGAACACGAGGTGCACTCTTGGTGGGTGCAGAGTGGAGTCATGCTTGGCCAGGCTTAAAAATAACGCCACCAAATGCCGACCATAAGATCGGCGATCATAACGTTTTCGGGGCTCGCCAGTGTCCCTTACCCGATCCCGATCCCATACGATGCCGACTTTTGATTCTGATTCCGATTTGAACCGGTTTACCAGCTGTGTGAACCAAACGAAACAGCTGCTCGAATCAAACTTTCGCCTGCCTGCGCGGCTGCCTGCCTGCCTGCCCCGGCGGTATGTTTCTTGTTCTGGGCAGCAAGTGCAGCAGCAGCAGCAGCAGCAGCCGCAAGCCCCGACCGGAGCAGAGCGGAGCTTATATAAAAACGACATTTGGCGCGCGTGCTCACTCAGTTGCAGAACAGAAACGAATTCGCGCGCGTGCGCCGTCAGCTTTTGAACACGAGTTCGCTTTCGGTTTCGGTTTCGATTTGGATTTAGATTTGAATTTTGGATTTGTTTTTTTTTATATGCATTTGTCGGTCTGCACAAAGCCCAAAGCGAAGTTCTTCTGAGAATAAAGCAAGGTTGCATAAATATACACTCGTATATAGTTTACCAAGAACATGGAAGGTCAGGCCAAGCCAGCATACTTCGTCAATGAAGCATTCAATCATGAAGAACACCCGCATGGGGGAGGCGGAGGTGCAGACAACCTGCATCGACGGAAGAGCGGTGGCACCACGAAGGAACTTCAATTGGATTTGGGTCAGAAGAAGGGTCAGGATCTGACTGGCAACAGCGGGGACAATGGCAGCCTACCCAACATTGATTTCGATGACATACTGCCGCTGATTGGGGAATTTGGCAGATACCAGAAGATTCTGTTCATCTGCATGATACCCTTCTCGTTCTTCGTGGCCTTTGTGTACTTCTCGCAGATCTTTCTCACCCTGATACCCGAACAACATTGGTGCCATGTCCCAGAGCTAGATGGCCTGGATGTGGAGGCCAGGTGAGTTATTCCACTGGGTTTTCCCTCAAAAAATCTAGCACCTTGCCAAGCTAAGGCAACATTTTGGCCATTTCGTAGTCATGTTCCATGGCTTGGCTATGGGGCGGGCTTAAACTCAAGCTCGGCTTCACGTAATCTGTCATAAATATGCAAATGGAAAAGTTGATTATTTACTAGCACAGACGGCTGTGGATACGAGGTACTTCAGTGCCGGGCTGTCGTTCGCGTAAGTGTTAAACTATAATGAAGATATCGTGTTTATTTAAATTATCATGAATACATTTGTATACTGCTTGCCGCTGCGACATTTCTATGGATTGCCTTCCAGTTATATTCAAGACATGTTAAACAATACTTTCCCTCTTTCTAGCTGGCATTCTATTCAGTCTGAATACCTGTTTGTACAAGTATCCCATCCGGAAACAATCTCATTGTGCGTACATGGCAATCGAAGCAATGCGGTTCCGTTTCACTTTCACAAAAAAAAAAAAAACGCACTTGATCGATTGCTAGACACACTCGTACAAGTAAAACTACCAAGCGATCGATCGACAATAGTCCCAAATCACCTTGAAATCGAAAGGCTAAGGCTAATACCGGTTTGTGCGTGTTTTTGAACCCCAGCCAAAGTGGATAATACCAAACCAAACCCATTTGACCAAGACCAAAATCCGCACAGTTCTAATAGTCAAATTATAATGTAAGAAAAATAGCTTATTTCTTAAAGCTTAAAACGTTGTTCAACGTTCGATTTGAATTGAATTGAATTGAAAAGCACCTAAAACGAATGAAACGTAACGAAACGAATTTCGAGTTTCGAGTTTGAGTTCAAGTGTTCTGACCAACAGAATAGTCATTAATGCGTCCAAGTTGGCTTAGAACGGCATGCCTGACCTTGGGCCATGATTGAGTTTCCAGTCAAAGCGACGGCTTAATAAGGCAAAGAACCTTACAAAACGTTCGTTCATCTGTATAATTGCTGGGGTGGGCAGCAGTAGATAGTTAGTAGCCAGCCCCCACTCCTGGTAGTTCACTGGCAGCGGCAAGGAGTGAGGGTTTTCCCCCAACGGAGAGTTGGATAAGATACAAGTATTAGTCAGCCAGTGGGCCGTCTAATTAGCGGCAGCGCAGCGTGAATGTTGCGACAACGCAGCAGGCCAGGCAGGCCCCAAACGTGCCGCACACCAGAGCCAGTACCAGTACCAGTGCCAGTGCCAGTGCCACTACGAATATGAGTAGCAACATCAACATCCACTACAGACTGCCATCACGAAGACTAATGTTGTGCGGTGGAGTCGCTGCGGTAATGTGAGTCGAGCTTTATGATGGAGTGCTGTGGAGTGGAGGTAACGAATATTGGACACGCTTTCAATTATACCAGAAGACACTTCATACATTTAGTGGATAGTTAATGGAAATCGTAATTGTCTCATTCATATCCTCGGGAGTTCTTAGAGTTCTGTACACTTTTATGGTAGGGAGTAGCAGTCCCTTTTCCCAAATTAAATATGCAATCAAATATAGGTCGAGGTTCAAATATAGCCTTTTTCATAGTTTCATAGCTAATTCCCTACCAACCATCAATATCGCTCTCTTTCCAAAATCAATCTTCATTCTAAATAGAGCATTCTTAAGCTTCAAGTGTAGTCGAAAACGTTTCGAATTGAAATCGCATTTTCAAGTACCCCTTCAAGATCATGATAATTAAGTTGTCGTACAGATACATGCATGATCTTAGTGTCTGCGTGTCAGCATACGCTGTATACGCAGTGCAGAAGTTTTGACCATGGCTTGGAGCTACTGAGAACTGAATACCCAGCCAGACGAAGACAATCCGACGCCTGACCCTGGGGATGTGTTAATTGCCGCCACTACGAGTACCCAAACTAAGTCTCTACCCCGTTCCTATCCACAGACTGGCGCTTTCTATACCCATGATGAATGGGGAATACAACAATTGTTACATGTACGATGTGAACTATACCGAAATTATGGCCCAGGGCAAGGTGATGGCCGATCCCCAGTGGCCGAAGGTGAAGTGTCGCCACGGCTGGTCCTACAACTACACGGAAATACCCTACTCGACGGTGGCCACTGAGCAGAATTGGGTGTGCGATGATGCCGCCCTGCCCACCTATGCCCAGTCCATCTTCTTTCTGGGCGCCATCGTGGGGGGCCTTCTGTTTGGATGGGTGGCGGATCGCTACGGGCGCATTCCGGCACTGATTGGCACCAATCTTATAGGCCTTTTTGCTGGCGTTGGCACTGCCTTTGCCAACAGCTTTTGGGAGTTTGCTGCCATGCGTTTCTTTGTGGGATTCGCCTTCGACAATTGCTTCACTATGATGTACATACTGGGTGAGTGTGCAAGCTGCCCCCTCTAGTGAAACTCCATCTGATTTAAGGCGCTATTTTTCTTCCAGTTCTGGAGTACGTGGGTCCCAAGTATCGAACGTTTGTGGCCAATATGTCCATTGCCATATTCTTCACGGGCGCGGCTTGCCTGCTGCCCTGGATTGCATACTTTGTGGCCGATTGGAAGTGGCTAACGATCGTCACCTCCGCCCCACTGCTGCTGGTTGTCTTCACTCCCCTGATTGTCCCGGAGTCGGCACGTTGGCTGGTCGCCCAGGGTAAGGTGGACAAGGCCATATCGATACTCAAGAAGCTGGAGCGACGCAACGGACGCCAGGTGCCCGCCCAGACGTATCAGCACTTTGCCGACAGCTGCCGTCGCATGCGGGAACAGGAGGCCCAGAATGGCAGCTACTCCGTCCTGGATCTGTTCAAGTCCCCCCGCCTCCGCCGCACCACGCTGCTGCTCATCGTCATTTGGATGGCCATCTCTCTGGTGTTCGACGGACATGTGAGGAACGTCGGCTCCCTGGGGCTAGATATCTTCTTTACCTTCACGGTGGCCTGTTTTACCGAGCTGCCGGCTGATACTCTCCTCACCGTGACCCTGGATCGTTTTGGACGTCGCTGGTTGGCCTGTGGCTCCATGGTGGCCAGTGGTGTTTTCAGTCTGTTGGCTACCGTTGTGCCCGTTGGGGTATACTCCGCCGCCTTGGCTATTATGGGGCGTTTCTTCGTCAATATCAGCTACAACATTGGACTGCAGTGGGCGGCCGAAGTGCTGCCGACAGTCGTGCGTGCCCAGGCCGTGGCTTTCATCCACATCATGGGCTATGTGGCGAGCATCATTGCACCATTCGTTGTATACTTGGCCAACATTTCCCCGGCCCTGCCGCTTATCATTCTGGGTTTGCTGGGCATCTTTGGTGGCCTGTTGTCGCTGTTGCTTCCGGAGACCCTTAATCACGATTTGCCACAAACCCTCACTGACGGGGAGGAGTTCGGCAGGGGTCAGAGCATTTGGGACTTTCCCTGCCTGGCCAAACAGGTGGACGAGGACGATGAGTCGAGAAGAAACACTGATGTGGAAGTTCGTTCCCAGGCCTTCGTGAGGGGCACCCAAACAGGAGCCTCGCTCACTGCCTCTACGGGCGGAGAGCTACGCTCGAGCATATTGCGCAGATCGGTGAAATCGCGCAACTCCACGAAGCTCTAGAGGATCAGTCAACGTCAATCCCCTAGCTCTTAGGTAGTCAAAACTCAATCAATTGTAGCCTTGCCTTGCATTTTTAGCATCGACTAGCCTCTAAGCGTTTTTTTTTTTGAAGACTTTTGTGATACTAGAAATAAGAAATTTCATGCGCCTCTGAACAAAAAATCAAATAAATAACGAAATATCTCACGAAAATGTTTTGTTGTTGGTGGGTAGAAAGTAGAAATGACATGAGTTCCACATGCGTTGGGCCCTATCACAAACGCATTTGCTGAGTACGCTCCCAGGTCTTCGGCTCGCGCCGCCCCAGCAACGCATTTCCTGTAACAGACAACTATTTTTGGAAGTCGCAAAATAAATGAAGAATGGGCGGCATGTGAGGGGAAAATAAAATAAAAACTGGTATTTGTTTGATTTGTTTAAATATGTATCTAAAGATACACATGTAAATTAAATTAGACAATAATAAATATTAAATTAATAGAATTTCACAATTACATCCTTATTTTATCCAGGTTTTTGCAGTGGTACTTCTTTAGCAGTACTTCTTACTCTTGCAGTAAATACCATATACCAACGTATAGCATTCTCATTGAATGCGTGCTGATTACTTAAGTAGGTCTAACTCTTAATCTTCGTCAGTGGAAATGAAGATATCGTCTCCAAAAGTTATCAACTTTGATGCCGACTCACTTGGCGCACTATATTTGAAATTGTTAATCAACATAGTATCTTCATCGGGGAAACAATTCCCAGATATGAGATAAAGAGCATTTTACTTTTTGGACTATTACCATTAACCTACTACCATTAACCATAGAATTATTTTCATACTTTTAGTGTCATTACTCCATGCATTGTGCATTTTTTTCTGAAACGCAACAAAACCAATCCAAAAAAAAATATTGAACTTTTTTTTTATTTGTTTTTGAAATTGGCGCACTGTGCCGGGTCGTTTTATGATGTTTTGGGAGGGCCCAGCCCCAAGGAGATTGGAGATTTTCGGGGTGCAAAAGGCAATTAAACATTGTATACCTTTGCTGATATTATCGGCACACAGGTCAACACCGAGAACCCCGAGTAAACACCGGGTGAAATGAACTACAAATAGATGCCGATCTGCGACTCACCTATAAAACCATGGCCTGGGACAGAACTTCGAACAGTTGAGACGCTATGGCTGCCTGCGTTTTGTTACTACTGGTCCTGGCACTGGGCGCGGTACTGGATATCGGCGACAGCTTCTCGAGCAACAGCAGCAGCAAGCTTCTAGCAGTCCTGAATGCCTCCGCTCCCGTAAATGAAGTGCTCTTCCACATCGATGTGTGGACTGGGGAAGCAGACGTGGAAGGAGCATTAAGAGGTCCTGCATCCAGCAATCTAGAGTCGGTGATTCGCTCAGAGGTTAGTGGCGACTGGAAGCGTGGCCAGGTGGTGCTTCAATTGGCGAATCAAGCCCGGACTCCGGAGCTAAAGCAAGCCATCTACACGGGACTCTGGAAGGAGCTACAGCAGACCAAACAGATCTACGATCCGCTCAAAATCTTAGACTTTTACGACCAACTGGCTTTCAATTCGGATGTCCCGCCAGCACTATTGCAGCTGGTCCATCAGGCCTTTATCTCACGCAGTGCACAGTTGTTGGAAGCTCCTTTCCACACAAACAGTCGCACGGCTACCTTCCCGCTGGTCGATTCGCTGCTGCATCGCTTGACCTTTAGCGCCTTGGACTATCTGCGCGACATCCTGGAACTTGTGTACGATGCGGTGCTGGCCCTGGAGACGCCTTTGAGTGTGGTGGAGCGTCTGGGCAACTTCACGGGCAGCCTCACTCAGTTGGCTCTGGCCAACCTCCAGTTGCTGCAGCGTGAAGAGCTCACACGGGACGATGCCGCAGCCGATACCTTGGGCCTGGCCATGCAAGATAATATCCGAAGACTGCTCGACCAGCCCAGCTTCGAACAGGAAGTGGAAGCATCGCTGCGACAGCAGATCTATGCGCAGCTTCCATCGGATGAGCAGCTGTTGTACACTGCACATAAGGTGTGCATCCGCAACGTGACCGACAGCAATGCCTACATCTATGAGTGCCCGCAGACGTATCTGATCTGCAGCAATGCGCGGGATCCGAAGAAGGCGGCGTACTACATCCAGCGTGGCCACAGCAACGACAGTCGACCGCAGTTTGCCTTCTACAGTGCCTTCTGGCGCAATCGGTACATCCTAATGGAGCCATCCCCGCTGGCAACCAGCAACACGACCAATGCCATTACCAAAAACGTGTACAGCCGGGCAAACATCAGCTGGTGGCGTGTGGTATATCGCAAAGGTGGCGTGTCCTTATACGATGCAGCAACCGAGAATTCTGTGCTCTGCGGTGGTGATCCCATACACTTTGACGGCCTGGAGCGGCATGTCTACACACGCAAGGCATCTGAATTTGCAGCCCATCGAGAGGAGTGCACCTGGAGCGTCGAAGATTGCAGCGATGCCACCTAGCTGTAGATAGAGAGAGAAATCACACCCTCAATAATTATTTCTATGTTTATTTGTCAATAGAAAGGCACAAGAAAATGTAAGGGGTCTACCTCTGCATAGAGTCCCAGGGTATGCACACAACTCCATCGGTTAGAACGGAATAGTAGTTCGTTATATGGAGCTTGACTTGTTCCAAATGCGGCAGCTGCATTTGGGACAGATCCCTCAGGGCCACAATCATCTTATCGGGTGTGACAGCATCGTCCTTAGTCAGCGATTGCAGCCGCAGATGCTCCATGCACTCATCCATGAGCTCCTGCTCGATGTGTTTGTCCTCGGCGTACTTGTTCATTAGCTCACGCGAAGATTGCATATTCTGGCTGATGAAGTCCACCAGTATTAGGCCGGGACAGGTGGCCGGGGTGATGAATTGACCCGTTGGACTGACCATCAGAGGACCCGCCTCTGATTCCACGACGATGGTGAATTCGTGCAGCGTCTCCGGCCAGTTCTTCGGGTATTTTTGCTTCCCCAGATAGTCGCCGAGCGACGTTGTTACTTTCATGAGGTAGTTAGCATATCCACGGGCCTGCGTCTTTGGCATAAACTTGCGACGTCCTATCTGAATGCCGCGCAGCACCTGCGAGAGCGTCTGCTCGTAGATGGGCACCACCTTGAGGTAGGTGTCGTGATGCGGAATGTTCTTGATAAAGTCAATCCAATTGTTCAGAACGTCTCCGGTGAACAGCATGACATGTCCCTCCAGGCTGACGCCTGTGAAGGGTGCAAAGACCACAATACGATCCCGCAACGGTGCCATCTCCGCCAAGTGGGTGTTGGCCAGGCGCTCCAGGGTCTTCAGGCAGCCACGATAGTGTTCGATGTTCCAGCCGCATTCGTAGCGGGCATCGCGTAGCTTCAGCTTCTCCACTAACACCTTTTGCAGCTTATTAATCTCGGCCTGCAGCTCGGCCGTTTCCTTGGCCCGCTGCTTAGCCTTGTCCGCATTCTCCTCCAGCCAAGTGGTCAGAACAGGACGCATACTTGCCCGCTCCTGTTGGTCAAATAGGGATCAACATTAATCGAGTAGAGAGGAGGACAATCTACTCACATTCCTCAGTTGAGATTCGAACTCGGAAAATTCCTTGTCGTAGTGGTAGTCCTGGCCCGGCTTATAGGCCATGCTCGTATCCGAGCTCTTTGGGGGTTCCGGCTGGGCCTTAATGGTCCTCACATAGTCCGTAGAGAGATTGCACGACTCTAGCAGGCTCTGAATGAATGTCTTCGGGTCCCTTGTGCTCTGCCAGTCCGTGCGGATCTGAATCAGCCGAAAGGAATCCCGTTTATTGGCGTCTGCACTGGTCCGCACATAGAACTTGAGTACTTGGGCATCGGCACTCCGTTGCGGCCTGCGCTCGTATAAAGATTCGAGATGCTCGCTCAGCAATTTCAAGGAGTTTTCGTTGGTGTTTCGCTGTTCGGGATGCTGCGCAAAGAAATCCGGATGTACGGCAAAGTAGAAAGGTCGCAGTGCCGTTGTCAAGTCTGCATTGCAAAGAAACCATCAAAAATTATCTCTGCAAGCTAATTTAAATGAAAAAAATAACCTTGATTCAAAGATCGACGCAGTGAAATCCATTGCCACTGCCTTGAACTTGACGCCAGAATCTTCAGTTTGGCAGCTTGTCCCATGCCCAGGGCCAGCGACACGGACATTATGTAAGCGGTGAGCAGCAGGGAACCTGCCCGTCGTCCCAGCAGAGCAGCATATAGTGGGGGGGTGCTTCTATTTACTTAAATATTATTTATTATTATGTTAAATCATACGTTTTGTGCTGCCACTTAATCCAACGATAAAGATATCTGGACAATAGTTTTCTATCGATGATTTCCAGTGTGACCGACGATAATGTTAGCTCAGACCAGCGTTAATGCTGCCACCCAGTCGATCGAAATTGTGCAGCCTCTTACAGCAAATAATAATCAAATTGATTACTATCAAATAAAGGAGAGTTCTTAAAATTAGCCAGTCATATGGAAAATTGGTTCATCAATTAGATAAAGTTATGCGTTGAGTGCTAAAAGTCTTAGCTAGCTCGTAATATTAAGCCGAATAACAAAATCGAGGAATATGGTTTCCGATCGTGAACAGAGAATGATTAACACATTTTATTAAAATACACTCTACGAACATTATAAAACTAGAAGAATTTTAACGCTGCTCAGGTGAAAGATGAAAATCCTTGTCATTTTTTTTTAATAAAGAACTTTCATATCGTATATAACTCAAGTTTTCACTAGTTTAAATTGAGGGCGGTAAGTGGGTTAATATCGTTTTTTTATTTTATCGATAAATCCGCGTTTTTTATTCTGGCCTGCAATTCTAGCAAAATATTAATAATTTAAACAAATTCGCAACATAAGCAAAGCAAAATGACTGCCGTGCCCCCTCCTGCAAACATTGCTACACTGATGCCACTGGGTAAGTGAATAGGTTTTGGCCGTTACCCGTCTTGCCGGCTACAGCGTCTCTGCCGGCTTGCCTGGACCTTGTTTTTCCACAGAGTTGGTGGACAAATGCATCGGCTCCCGCATCCACATAATCATGAAGAACGACAAGGAAATGGTAGGCACTCTCTTGGGCTTTGATGACTTTGTGAACATGCTGCTGGACGATGTCACGGAGTACGAAAACACGCCAGACGGTCGCCGCATCACGAAATTGGATCAGATTCTGTTGAATGGCAACAACATAACAATGGTGCGTAGTACTGGTGCCTCGTATAAGTATAGTTGTTTAAATGATCCCCATTGCAGTTGGTCCCTGGAGGCGAGCTCGCGGAGTAGGAAATATTCCATTTATAAACATAAATTATACATTTGTAAAATAACAACAACAAAACAAGCCTTTTCATGCATGTGTGCGACTACAGAGATATGTTAATATTCAGATGGGGAGTCGGTGCATGTTAGGCGCACGTTAACAGAGGAATGTTAAGTGGCGCTAGAATTTGAATGAGGAAATCGGGGAACAAGATGAAATTGTTGATTACTTGTCAACTTCCAAGTATTTTGTGGAGTATTAATGTTTAGCTGGAATGGAGTGCATAGACTTACTATTTCATATTTAAGAATCATAACTTCTCATTTTGTAATGTTCATATCAACGTGTACATAGCATGCGCATGCGCTTTACCTATTTGAGCATAACTTTTGCCGATTTAGCAGTGGCAGTCAACATGTGCCATAAATATTAACGTCTTTCCTATGGCTGAAAGCTTGTTTGTGGGTGCAATGCGTCGCTCTCCCGCTTCCGCTCTTGACGCAGTCGGCGCCGATAGAACGTACGTTCAGAACGGCACCAAACTTCAACGGAAGTAGAACAAACCAAGCGGAAACAGACCCACACGGCACCGCACTGCGCCGCTTTGCGCCGCTCCGCTCCGCACGAATATGGAAAAGTTTTTCATCAACAAATACCATTGATAAAGGTAGTGGTTCAGGGCAGAGTTTTGTGAATAGGAATGACAAATTATAATTACCAGCGACCGCAACTCGTGTGGGCCTAGGCACTCTCTCTGGGGCAGACCAAGATTCAGTGAAAAGTGAGTTTTTTTTCGTCGTCGGTGTTTCTGTTTCTGTTTCGGTATCTGTATCCATTGTCGTCTCGCAGCAGATTTGCTGCGTGTGCTGCCCGGCTGCCTGGCTGAATAGCTCCTTCAATGGGATCCCAATAATTATGACTGCGTGAAGAAATCAATACACAACAATGGCCAGCAAGCCCATGAGCAGCAGCTGCCAGAGCATTGCAACGGCGGCCAGCAGTGCCGCTACCACAGCAGCCGCCGTCTCCATCTCCGCCTCGAACGCCACCTCGGTGGGCTCCCTTATAGCCGCCGCCTGCCAGCAACAGCAGCAGCACCACCACCACGACAACCAGCCGCAGTCGCAGTCCCAGCAGCACCACCAACAGTCACACCAGCCATCATCGCACTATGTCAATGGCACTGGCAGCCTGGGCCGCCTCAAGTTCCACAAGAGTCTCGATGCCAGCGATGAGGAGATCGAGTATGCACAGGTAAGTCCAAGTGGCAGACAGTCGTACTAGTACTATTACTTGTACCAGTACTTATAATCCAATTGAAATGTCTATGTGTGTCCGTCCCCTTATTGAGTCATAATGCGACAAGGTCCTGCAGCGTTGCCTCAATTGAAATTGTCTTGCGAGTGCGGGTGCTGGTGCTGGTGCTGGTGTGTGGGCCAGGGTATGGATACTGGATCCAAGTGGGTGGGTGATTTGCTTCTTTTGGTGGTGGGTTTTCTTTCTCCTGCTTATTGCAATGCCTGCTGCCCTCTCAGCTGTTTAACCTCTTGTTCTTTATCATCGTTATACATAGTTTACGCTTCAGCAACCGCGCGGGGTTTCCGATCAAGTGTTAATAATTCAGTGCCCCGTAAATTGTCATATATACTACACATACAACGAAACCAAGCTATAAAAGAGTCCCGCTCGCCGCCCCCCGTGGATGGAGCAGCGCCATGCCAGGACTTTGGCCAAGGCAATTAGAGAGAACAAAAATTAACCAGTTGGGTTACCATATTGGAAAAATCACTTAAGAGGGGGGAAGTCATTCAGAATCATAGCAACCCCCCTGCCTTAATTGAAATATATTTTTCCGAAGCCCTCATCCCCCTGTTAGTATTGGATTACTTTAAGTTATGGGCTATCCCCGACTCACTTGTGTTGGGGAATCTAAAACTAAGACCAGCCACCGGGCATGGCTTCAAAGCTCCAAATCGGCAACACTTTAAATTCCTTCTTCAATTAAATCATTTCGTTCTTTCAACGGCAATTTCTTTATAATGAAAGGACTTGCGATTACAGTATCCCACTTTTAATAAATGTTGTATATTTTTATACATCCATGTAATTCCGCACAATTTCTCGAGAAAATTCCCGGCAGTAGTTCTGCCGAGGGTAAGCCTTTTGCCTTTCAGTCCGGTTATTACGGGTTCACACAATGTACCGTTAATGAAAGAGCTGCCCACTCTGTCTATGTATTTGTTGTATCTATCCGTATCTGTGCGTCTGTGTTTGTGTGAAATTTGTTTGGTTTTCTTTTCCCTTTCTCCGCCGCACCGCTTTCCCATTTTCTGGAGGTGGAAGCGAGGGCGGCAGTGAAAGTGTTGCCTGCTGGTGCTGGGGGCCTTCATCGGGTATTCATGGAAATGCTTTCAATAAAAGCAGGAAGAGCACCAAGGACCAGCAGCAGGAGTGAATGTTGGGGAAGGGAGGTGAGGGGGCTTGGGGCGAATGCGAATGCGAATAGGTTTAGATACGGGTATGGCCTTTGAGCAAACACCACATTTTTATGGTCTGGCCGCACCTGGCGGCCATTCGGTGTGCCACATTACACAGACGTGTAAATAACCGGAAGTGCTGCTGCGGAATAGTTGAGCGCACAAGAGGCCACTTTCACCCACTAATCAACACTTAATCCCCCTCCAGCTATCGCAGTCCACCCACATCCTGGGCCGCTACAAGTCGGAGCGCTTTCTGGCCTCGAAGCCGGATGAGGATCGACGCCGTCGCACCATTATTGTGGAGAAGAAGAACGACACCTACGGCTTCACCCTGCAGAGCTATGGCATCCACTACAAGCGGGACGAGGAGCTGGAGATGATCACCTACGTGGACTATGTGGAGTACGGCGGTCCGGCCTACAGATCTGGTATGCGAGAAGGCGATGTGATACTCTCCATCAATGGCAGGGACATGGAGAAGGCCGATCACAAGACCATCGTGGAGTTCATCAAACAGTGCGACACGAGGATGCGAATGGTGGTGCTCTTCGAGGACTGTGTGCGGAAGGTAAGTAGCGAATCCCACATCCATAGATAGATAGATCCCTCATGGATAGGCGTCTTTTTAGGTGGATCTCCACATGCGTTACATTCAACTCCAAAGCATGCTGCAGCACAAGATGAACGAACTGGAGCGGGTGCATCTTAGGGAGCGAGAGCTGCTCGAGGGCAAGTGGAAGACGCACAGTCTGCCCGCGCGGAAGAAGGCCAATGCCAATACATCGCCCAGCGATGGAGAAGGCGTCTCGCCCACTGAAGCGGCGGTCGAAACGGGCTTTTATCGTCCCGCCCTGTCCACAGAGGATGTGGGGAATATAGCTGCCCGCCAGCAGGCGGCAGGAGGAGGAGCTATCATTCCGCCACCGGCACAGTTTATGCTCACGTATCACTATCTGGACCCCACATATCGCTATGTCCTCCGGCCAACGCATGGCAGCTCCGAGGACTACATCGATGGCCTGGGCCTACAGCGCAGCAGCAGCGACCATCAGCCGACGGCCCAACGCTTCATGTTGCACCGCACCGAGTCGGTGGACACTAACACGATCAGTCAACCCACCACCACCGCTCCGACTCAGTACCACAGCACCACCAGCGGAGGTGCCACGGTGAAGCCACCTGCTCCTCCGCCGCGAACCTGTGAAAAGCACAAGCCTCCAGCCAAGCCGCCCAAGGCGGAGAAGGAGAAGCCCGCCTCAGGGAAGCACTACCATGTGGGGCATTCGTGCAATCCATGTCTCGGGCACTTTCGCTGGAAATCGACGGAGAAGAGTCCTCTGCCGGCCGGGGACAATGTCAGCCTCGATGCCTACGATCTGGCCAGTCCCTGCTGCGATACGCAGTGTGTGCCCAGCCGACGCCGCCATCGCCAGCACAAGGAGCACACTCACAAGCACAAGCATCGCGAGAGGGAGCGGGAGAGGGTGGAGAGCAAGGAGCAGCGGATTAGACCCAAGTCCCAATCGCATGCCTCGCCCAGTGCCAATGGAGGGGGACACCACCACCATCATCATCATCACCATCACAGCCGAGAGCAACAACAGCAGCAGCAGATACAAAAACAGCAGCAGCAACAGCAACAGCAGCCAGTGCCCCATCACCATCACTATCATCATCCCCCGCAGGGACAGACTACACCGACTCCCTGCCATGCGAATTCTCAGTCAGGGAGCACACGTTCCCGCTACTTTGATCTGGCCTCTGGCCTGGCCAGCCACTGTAGCCTCCACTCCTGCACTTCCAGCGAGTTTGCGCCTGCGGACTCTGCCTCCTACACCACCTCCATCAGCACGGATACTCTGTTCTGGGATCCCAAGAGCGAGACGGGACAGTCGCGACAGCATTCCACCAAGTCCAGACAATCCTACGAGCAGCCGCACCACCAACAGCAGCAGCAGCAGCAACCCCAACAGCATCCACATCAGCAGACCCACCAGATGCCCCACCATCACCATCATCACCCGGGCTATCATCAGCGCTACCATGTGACGGCCACACAAGTTCAGCCCTCGCAGATCTACCCCAACACTATATCCTACGTGCAGAAGCCCAAGTCCTGGGACAATCTGGCCACCAAGGCAGCGGGTGGCTATGGCTTCGGCTATGGATACCTGGACACGGTGGCCGTGAAGCCGCCGGTTAAGCTGCAAATCGCTCAGCAGCGTCACTCGATGCCACGTCGCAATCCGTACGGCCGCTTCTCCACCTACGGGGATGTGGAGAACTATGCCCCACCGCCCACGGAGTTTGTAGGCGAGCTGACGACCACCACAACGACCACGATTACGGCCAAGTCCACGGAGGAGCTGATGGCCGCCTGTGATTGTCTATCGCCGCAGCAACAGGCGGCCCTCAAGGCGGCCCAATATCAGCTGAGCCAAAACCAGAAGCTGACCCACCAGAACTCTTGTCAAATGGGCTATTACTCGCATCTGCCACGGCCCACGACAGATGTGGGCACCTCCACCAGTCAACAGGTGCACAACGGGGCTGGGGATGTGTCCACGGTGTCGGAAGCAACGCGTCTGTAAGCGACACTAGAAATACTCTAGGGGATCTGGCTGATCCAAGAACCGTCTAAAGAATGCACAGAATGCACTAAGAGTATCTCAACTCTACTATCCACTCAATCACTGTACATCGAAATCATTAGAAATGGTAACCAAGCCAAATTTTAACACAGAATCAATATTTAACCAAACTATAAATGCATGTATGCATGTATACCTACTATAGAGTGGGTTTCATAACTATGGCATAGTCTGGCAGCAAAAATCCCACATGACAATACCGATAAAGAGTAGGAATCGTAGGAAACAGAAAACAGTAGATAATATCAGAAGCACTTTAAGCCCTTCAAAGTTAAGAGAATTTACCCCACCCCCCGTTGTCCAGCTGTCTTATAGTTCTGAAACAGACTATATATGTATATATGTATGTATCATTCAGGTAGGACGGACTAGGACGCATTGGCGTTTAGATTCGACGTTTTGGATTTATTTAAAGACTGAAGCTATGCGCATATTCCAAATGAGAGAAAAATCTGGCGTCTTATAATGATAGTTAGATGATTATACTATATATATTATATATATATATGTAAATCCATAATTGCCATATAATATGGTTACCTATCATGCATCTACAGCTATTGTTTAACGAGCATATACATATACATATAAATACACATGAATAGTATATATATTTATTGTATACTGTAACTGTATCCAAGAACAATGTTATTTATTTCATTGTGATAGTGAATGGGCAAGGCACTAAAAACCGCAACAATTTTAGTCGCAATTTTATCAAAAATGGAAAACCAAAATTCAAAACGCTTTTATGTAATGCAAAATGTAAATGTTAATGTACTTAATGTAATGCAAATAAAACTCAAAAAATGTGTTCATGTAGTGTAAAAACGGATGCAAATGGGGTGTTATTTCCATGGGAAGATTCAAATTTCATATCCTTAACGGCTACTCTCCACTCAAATCAGCTGTTTGGCTGTGGAGAGTTTCGGTGTTCAACCACCCACCCCCGAAGAGCGGACAACTGTCAGAAAACGCCGCCTGGCGGCTAGCACTGGCACTAGCGAGCTGTCAGAATCGCAAAAAAATCAATACCAACCCCCAACCCTCCTCGTTAAAAATGTAAATGCGAAAAAATTCAATACTGTGCAGCCATACGCGACGGTCGCAGCGTTTCACCATTCACATACTCTCTGCCCCCCACACGCACGGCACCGCAATCGAGGAAAAACGCCCGAAATTGTCCAAAGCTCGGAACGGTAACTGAAGCTGCCCCAATCCCTGGCTGTGTATTCCCACATTCGAGCCCTCGCCAGTGCGTCCCAGAAGCCAGTGAAATATTGCAAGCCGGCAAAAAAAAAAGAAAAAAGAATCGCGAGTGGAACGGGAAAGAAATTGTGTGAAAAGTGTTTCATCAATCGCACTCATCATCTGGGATTCCGGACTCCGAACATACGTACATACATACATATGTCAAGTGCAGGGCGCCAGGAACAAAGCTAGAAGACGGCGTCGTCAGCGGGAGCGCCACCAGAAGCAGCGGCAACATACGCTAATTTGATTGCTCGACGGCGGCTGCGGCAGCAACGGCGTCGTCGGCGGTCACGGTGACGACGACAACGACAACGACACCAATAGCAACAGCAACAATAAGCTGCAAAGACGGCTGTGAAGGCGGTTCTGGTGTCAGCGTCGGCGTCGGCGTCCTGCCATAGGCTGTGACGGAGGAGACCACCGCTCTTCCTCCTCCTCTTGCTGCTGCTGTTGTTGCTATTGTTGTTGGTGGCGGCAGCAGGTACAACAATGATAAGGTAAGATTGGCAAACGAATTTGTTGCATACCACAGGGCGCTGCATGCAATGGATATGCCAATTGCCAATTAAATGTAAAATTCAAATGGCCCTCCAGCAATAGTCAAACATCTCAAAATAAAAAAAAATTTAAAATGACTAAAATGTCCAAAGGCTACGGAAAAAGTTCTCCGCTGGCCACTCCACATCCGGTTTGCTGGCAGAAGCAGAAGCAGAAGCAGCAGCAGCAGCAGCCTTGGGACAAAGTTTTGTGTGCACTTTTGTGGAGCTACTTTCAGATGTCTGCCCAGAGATATGAGAAGTGTAACTTTCGGACCGACTCTCTGTCTGTCTGTCTGTCTGTCTGTCTGTCCGTCTGTCCGTATCATTAGGCTAAAGTTGGGCCACTCAAGCAGTTGGTTTTTATATATTTTTGCAGAGTTTTTTCTTTTTTCCGCGCTGCCATTAATTATGAAGGCTGAACTATGCCAAAGTTTTGCAGATTCCCGCCAGCGTGTCCTTTGTGCTGCTCAATTGTTAAACCGAAATTCATAAGTCCTAATGACTGGTGGGGCGTGCAAGGGACCAAGGGAGCACGAGGGCATTGCATTGCAAGGGCAGAGAAGGAAAGGGGCAGAAAGGGGAAGAAAGGGGGTCTGTGGGGCAGACAACTTCAAGTTTGCTGCGGATGCGGACGTAGCATGTACGACAACATCATTATCAGCGTTGCCAGCGTCAAAATGCCATTAAATGTGTAGCCTACAATGCCTTTGAAGGATTACACACCAACCAGAGGAGTTTACTCCTTCTCGCTCTCTCTCTCTCTCTCCCGTGGTCCTTCCCGGTCGCTCCTCCTGCAACTGCATGCTTGTTTACTCACACACATACACACTCGCACTCGCATCGGCCAGAAGTAGAAAGAAAAGAAAGGAAGGAAGTATAGCTACGGGAAGTCGAAGTGGTTGATACCCTTGGAAATCGAATATTCCGTTGGAATCCGAACACATCCGACTGATTATTTCTTTGGCACAAATATGAAATTGGGATCCGAACGTTGCAGCTACAATTAAATACTACATTAACCAAAAAGTAGATTAGTAAATAGCTTAAAAACTGTCGGATGACGCGATTACTGAATGTTTAATAAGAATGCACATAGATACATATGTATGTAGTACTACATACATCCATAAAGGATCGAGAATTCTTTCCTCTCTGCATTGTAACCATCGAGTGAAAGCCATACCCTCTCCCTTCAAGGGTGTACTAAAAAAAGCAACGGGCAAAAAAATGTGCAGCACAGAGAGAGAGCGCGAAGTAGCAGCGAATAGTTGTTGGTATTGTTGCTTCAGGAGTGCTGGCGGGCATTGAAAAACCCAAACACACACACAAGCATGCACGCACACACTCGCTCAAATAGATGGAAGGACCTACGCCTGGCCGTCAGTCAAAAGGCGGCTATCCCGCTCCCCATTCTGCCAGTCTTTCCCCTCCGTCTGGCGCCAAAAGTGCGTTGCATACTCCGTTCCTTTTATTTTTTTGTTGTTTTTGTTTTTGTTGCTGCATGCTTTGTTTGACTGGGATTGGGATTTTCCCCAACAGTTGTACTCGCTCTCGTAGCTGTTGCTGTTGTTGCACATATTGTCACACAGGCAACAAGGCACACGCAACAAAAAGTACAACAGGGGCGGTAGCACCAGCACCAGTAGCAGCAGGAGAGAGCGCTAAAAAGGAGAAAAAACTTTGCCACGTTAACTGCTGACTGACTGAACAGGCGACAAAAGTGTCCATGGTGTGCATTTTCGCATCAGGAATATGCCTAACCATTTTTTACTTGAATCTCCAAATGAATATTTCCGAGTATTTTTTCTAATGCCCCACCAAATGGTCTTCGACACATTTGCTGGCTGTGCGACAGTGAACAGCGTTACCGTTCACTAACTGTAAATGTGTGCTTAGAAGACAGAGACAGAGACAGAGAGAGAGAGAGAGAGGGAGGAGAGAGCGCAGGATCGGGCAGCGGAGGCAGGGGTGTTAATGAGCAACATCGCAGTGGCAACGACTTTGCTTAGTATTTGTGTTTCTTCATTTCCGGTTTCCACATGTTGACATGCTGATGATGTTGGTTAAATTCTGCTGACGATGATGAAGATGATGATGACAATGATGAAGTCAGCAGCAACAGAAGCAGGAGAGCAGGGCAGCAGGAGCATCCGCCTGTGGCAGTGGCAGTGGCATAAGGCGCGAGGTCTGTCATTCAGTGAGTGAGTGGGCTTGCGGCTGGCCCCGTCTGTCAGCCCTGTTTGATTGTGTCTGCTCTACTCCACTGTACTCTCCTGCTCTCTACTTCACTCTTGTCTTGTTTGTTAACGTTGCGTATGCGTAATTTTCATATTATGTCACTTTAATGCGCTAAATGAAAACTTAATTTGATTAGGGCGCCATAAATATCAGCGTGTGCCCACATTAGAGCGGCCTTGTCGCCTGTCGCCCAATTGACTTGTTGGTCGACCCCGCACAGAGGTGACGCATAGTTGACGCAGCTTCCTTTGTCCCTGACTGACTGCCTGCCTGCCGGAACAAACACACAAAAACTAAACTACATTTACATCATCTCTAGCCCCATCTCCTGGCCCATATTTAGCCCCATCTCCAGCCAAATCTCCTGGCCATCTTCAGTTCCCATTTCGGGCTACTGGATTCTGGCTGCTGGCTGTTGGCTGTTGGCTGATGAGCTCATATTGAAAGTTTTTGTGTGCTCCATGGGGCGACCTAGTTTTGGCCAAAGCCAAATCAATGTGGCCGCTGCGGCGCCATTTGCACTGCCGACCCTTTTGTGCATTTGCTCAGTTCCACTCTTCTTTTGCTCTGTTCGACATTTTCCTGGTTCTGGTTCTGGTACGGGTTCGGGTTCGGGTTCAGGGGTCGTCGGGCGCTTTCCCTCTTGTGTTTTTTGTTCAAACAATTTCGCCTGGTCGCTTGGTCGCCTGGTCGGGCGTTATTAATTGAGCTTTTGATGCATAGCTGGCAGTTCCCCACTTCCTCACCGCCAGAATAACGATTGTCTCATCCCATTTCATCTTCATCCGCTTCCATCCCATCTCATCCATCTGTTCGTGTGCACTTAAAAGGCATCGTAATTGTTTTTACCAAATTGAAATTTTAATTGAATTCGTATTGGTGTCGTATCGTATCGTGCCGGTCATTCATGAATCCATGAACCCGGTAAACGGAAATAGTACGAGTACGAGTACGAGTAAGAGTAATTGTAAGAGTAAGAGTACTCGTGCATTAAAACATTTATGCCTTTAAATCGTAACCATTTGCCGTTTGTCTTTCGGTTTAGACAAAAACACCAAATCAAATACGATATATTGCGGTTTTTGATGCCTGATTTATGGCACATAAAAATTAAAAATTTAATGTGCATTGGTTTGGTGGTGGGGAGGGGGGGGTTTGGTGTTGGTGTTGGTGTTGGAGGAAAAAAAGCCGCATAGGCATTTCATTTCATTGCATGCAAAGCATCATTGACAGCATCATCATCATTATCATTATCCACGTCAACAATGGTTGAATGAGCGGCTGAATGAATCTCAAGTGGGTAGTCATCTATGCCACGTTGCGAGGGACGATAGATACACAGATAGATAGATGGATGAATGGATGGACGGATGGATGGATTGGTGGATGGATGGATAGATGCATATAGCGGAATTGCATGATTCAGTTTGTTTATTTTGTGGGATAGTTTTTGAGTGAGTCTGTCCATAGAATCCATAGAATCTCTCTATCGCCTCTGCTCATTTAGTATGCCAAGTGGGGCTGAGAGAACTCGTTGCACTTTTGATTAAAACTCATCCCAACGGTTGCATTTTTGCAGCAGAACCGATTCACAGACATAACACATTGCGGTGGAGGTTGAGAAGAACGGCATGGTGAAAATGGAATCCACGGAAGAACAGGATCGAAAGCTAGTCTTGGAGTTTTGCCATTTGCTAGAGAAATCCAAGCAGCTCTTCAATGGGCTCAGGTGAGTGCAATGCTGCGGCATCCCTTGCATCCAAAATGCTACAAATATATTCTATATGTACTCTCTTTAGGGATCTGCCGCAATATGGTCATCGGCAGTGGCAAGCGTATTTCGGACGCACCTTCGATGTCTATACAAAATTGTGGAAATTCCAGCAGCAACACCGCATGGTGCTCGACTCCAAGTACGGACTGAAGCGTTGGCAGATTGGCGAGATAGCAAGCAAAATTGGCCAGCTCTATTATCACTATTAGTAGGTAGTCCCACCAGTATTCCTTTGCTTTGAATTAACCAGCAAATTTCTGTTATGTCTTGCAGCTTAAGAACCAGCGAAACCAACTACCTGAATGAGGCGTATCAGTTTTATGCGGCAATACGTGGACGGGCGTATTACTCGCGGGCAGCCAAGGAGGATCGGCCCGATCTGATGGTGAAAAAGCTGCGCTATTATGCCCGCTTCATTGTCGTCTGTCTGCTGCTCAAGAAGATGAAGCTGGTGCGCGAACTGGTCACCGAACTGGAGAAGCAGATACAGGAGTACACCAACACGTAAGAGTGGCAATATACTTTCCGTGTCGATGCTTTGATTATCCTAAAGTTTTCTCAGCTACGAGCCGGAGGATCATTTGGAATGGTCGCTGGTTTTGGAGGAGATCAAGGGCTTCATCAAGGCCGAGGCAGCCGTAGCCGTACTGCATGCCGATTCCAATCCCATCATATTATCGCACAGGTGAGTCGTTGGCACAATTTGTGCCCATACCGCGTACAAATTGCCCGTGCTTTCGTCGGCGGAGGAGGAGTTTGGACAGCTTCTGGGGTAGCCAAAAGTATATCTATCTATCTATCAATCTATCTATATGTATAAGAGTCTACTTTGGGTAGCGCTATATTCTGTTTGCGTAGGTATACAAGTTTTGCTTGAGTTCGGTTGCCGTTGATTATGTTGATTTCGTTGTGCTTATCACAGAAGACTTGAAACACCAGAGAAAACACTCACCTTTGTCATTTTGTCACGCACTTTAACCATGATCTATCCAACCTAACACCCACACCACCCACTAACCTACACACACACCACACGCACACACACACAATACACAATCTAAATAAATACTACGGCTTAAAACAGATCCACTCCACTTCTTTAGGATGACTGTTTTATAGCCTGATTTCGCACACTCGAAAACATATTTTCTGTATATTGATACAGGAAATATGTTTTTCGGAATGGTCCACTCTCAGACACTCACAAGAATTTATCATTTCATGTGTTTGACCACCCTCGATCCCAATACACACCCACACACAAACACACACACGAGTCCCACTTTCTCTCCTTCCGTACCCTTGTCACCTCATTAGTGCGCCACATTCTCAATTCTTCTGTGAAAGCACGGGCCCCCGCCAATCGCTTGTGGACCAGCACAACTACAACGACTTATGTGTAGTGGTTCCGGTTCTAGGTTATCGCCGCTGACAACGCCGCCCTGCGAGCGGTCGCCGCACATGACGCTGAGCCTGCAGGAGATCCTGATCGTGGGCTCTGCCTGTGAGCAGGCCAAGTTCTCGGAACTGACCATGGACATGTTCCGGATGCTGCAGACGCTGGAGCGAGAGCCAACGGAATCGGCAACGAATCCGCTGAGCATGGCGCATGGCCTGCACGGACACGATGCCAGTCCTGCGGCCAGTCGCATTCCACCCTACGGTGTGCCAGGATCCAAGGGTTACCAGGAGAATGGCCGTCATTTTCGAGACAATCCTCACAAGTATCTACTTTATAAGCCTTCGATTAGCCAGCTGATGGTCTTCCTCGCCAGCGGCGTTAGGGAACTGCCACTGGGTGGCGCCTTACTCTTGTACATGTCCGCGGACGGCTGTTTCTCCACCACAAAACATCCCGAAGACTGTAAGTATCTCTAAGGAGTATGGTAAACAGTCCAAGCGTCCGAACCATCACGATATCTTTATTTTCCAGTTGGGTATGAGCTGGGTGGCGTCGCCACCTGCGCCAAGCGGGACAGTGTCGATGGCGGGGGACTGTCGTGTCGCGGGAAATCGTACAAGGAGAACCACTGCCTATATCCGGGTGATCTCTATCCATTCACACGCCGGCCCATGTTCATTGTCATCGACTCGGACAACTCGTTCGTCTTTCAGCACATACCCCGCTACTTTGGCCAGCCGCTGGTCGTACTCATGTCACCGCAAGATGTACCATCCGCATTTCAAGGTAAGTCCGTGCCCCGGATACCCTTGAGGATGAGGAATCACTGATTATTCTTGGATCTCTTTCAGCCGATGTCCAGCATCATGGATCGCTGTTTACGTTGTTCCTGCACTCCCCGCTCACGGCCCTCTGCTACATTTGCAATGTGGGCGATGTGCCCATCCATCATTGGGAACGCTGCCAGACCTATGTGGATCGCTTCATAACGGAGGCCTCGCGCCTGGTCACGCGTTGCCGCATGGATGAGATCGAACAGGGCATAGGCTGTATAGGTAAGGAGCATATTTGATATACATACCCTTCAAAGAACGATCAAATCTCATTCGACTTTCATTTGCCGGATAGACTCATCGTATGTTCAGTTCTTTGGCGACGACTTTCTGCGCACACTCATCTTACGTTTCGTCTTCTGTGATGTGGTGCTGCGTTTGCATCGTGGGTTCCGTGGTCGCCACATGCGGCCGCGCTGCGAGCCCCAGCTGCCAGCAAGCGAGCTTCTGGAGCATCCATCGCTATCGCACATTGTCTTTCAGCTGGCCTCGGCTCTCGATGTGCGCGGCCATTTCTCGGAGGGGCCGGAGTGCGACTGATGATTTTTTTTGGCCGTAGTCTTAGTCCTAGTCTTAATTGTCTGCATGCGACAGCAGCTCTACCAGATCCTTTGCTCTTACTTTTCCGCTTTGATGCATTTGCTGTACAATACTTTTCCGCAAGGTTGGACTTGGAGCTGGCACTGGATCTGGGCCTTGGGCTCTATAGAGGGGGTATAAGGGGAATAAGGGGGTCTTTTGGGAGTTTCTACTCATTTTTTTTTTTAGTGGGGGTTAAGTATCCTAACTGCCTGGCTGCTGTCCACGCATGGGCGTAATTCATTTTAATAATAACGTACAACATAACGACATAACATAATAATACAAGTATGAATATAAATATATATAATATATGCATATATAAAGTCAAGTACGAGTAAATATAACACGTAATCAAGTAGCTAGTTTTCTTATATAGTGCGTCGCGCAATGGAATGGTCCAATGTTAGTTGCTTAGCATATACATACATGATAAATGATAAATCTAATGATAACGACACATATACATACATGAAATCAATGATATTAAACCAATATCACAGCAACAGCAACGCAACAGAAAGAAAAACAACAACAACCACAAAACATGTCAAAAACAAACCTAACAAAACGATAACTGCCAAAAGAAAATGATGGGAAAACATTTCCAAAGTTGAAATCAAATTTTGTTGAAGCGAGTTCGTGGGACGAGGACGGGGCAATTTTTGTATTGAAATTGGGTGAACTTTTTTTGTATGGGTCTAGGATCGCCTGATCAGAAAGATATATAAGGATATGTAAACTTTTGTCATACGCAGCGGAAAAACATTTTAGCTTTTATACAAAATAAAAACCATTATTGAATGTGAATTATGAACACGACACACTATATAAGAAAGGGAATGCATTGCGTTTTTTTATGCATTGCACACGGCGGCGCGCTCATAACAAATTAAATTTAAAATTAAAATTACAAACAAAAAATTACGAAACCAGAATATTATTGTACGTATGTAATATTGCATATATTGTATGTATGTATTATTATTATTAAAAGATGACTGAAAGTTACTGTTTCAACACGGGAAAATACGGAAATAAGAAAAAGGGAAACCCGAAAACCAAAAGGAAAGTCTAGCAAAAATAATAATTAAAAATAACGTTTATACATAAAGCCCTAGATAAGCGGAAACTAAGTGGAAAAAATATACAAAATATATTTTGCGTATGTTAAAGTACGAGTACTCGTAAAATACAAAAAGCCCAACCAACATTTTATACGAAACCGAACGACAAATGCATACAAAAAAGTTTACAATGTAACTAAAACGAAAAATCTATTCTGTTCTGGAATCGTTTCTCCAAAATATATTACAATTTCAGTTTTCAGTTCGGTTCAGCTTAGACCCTGAATCAACGCATTATAATATATTAAACAGTTATAATAAAATATAGTTGCAAGTCACACGAACCGAACTCTATGGATTTATAGGCAAATGATAAACGCAATATTGAAAGTAACGAAAAAAATCATATATATTTCAATATGAAAATAACACTAGTTGAACGCATAGTAAATCGATCATTTTATACGAGGCCGGCCGCAATCGGACATAAAGGGAAGCGATATCGGATCGTAACAAAGGAAAACGAGAGGAAAACAGTTTAACAATTACTTTACTATTATGGTTTACTATCGAATAATATGTGCATTTTTTATATATTTAAAGAAAAACTAACGAAAAGCAAACCAAAACAAATTTTATGCTAGCTACAAACGAATTTTTCTGAAGTCTTCAAGCAGCCTACAACAAAAAGATAATACAACTCAACTAATTTATTCAGCCGAGTTCTTAAACTTATTCGCTTTGTTAACTAACAAATTGTATAGCTTTTTCACAATTTCGTTTACACCTTTTGTACATACAATACATGCGAGTATATGGGATAATACCTACTAAAAGGAAACAAATGTTGAAGAAACCAAAATATATATCACCCCTCCTCACACACTCATTGTATCATTTCCATTCAGGTTTTTGTACATTTTGAGAACTGCATTTATGAGATAGCGACAACAAATAAGGGGAGAACGAAGAAAAAAATATGAAAACCACAAAAAAAAGGATCACAAATAATCAGCAACATTAACCACACACACACACACACTACACCACATCACACTCACACGTAAACGAAGCCCACAAATGAATACATTTAAACATTATCATAAACAAATTGTTTAAAAGACATGCAACCAAAGTCACAAATAACATTATAAAACGACAAGAAAATAATATAAAAAAATGATAACAAATTTAGCAAAGCCACAAGAAAATAGTATGGAAACGAAACGAAATGGGAGATAAAGAAAGGAGAAAGTGTACGAGTATGGGAGTTTGTATGAGTAATAAGAATAAAGCACACGTTTGAAAAGAGATTCGTATTTTATTGCCACTCGATGCCATTCCACAGGAGCCCATTCATTCCAAACCACCACCAGTCTGCTCTTCAATCCAATCTAGAAACGAAGACACACGCGTCAAGACATCTGGCAGTTTCACCTGGCACTTGGCATCGTAACCGTGCGAGACGATGCCCACCAGCGTTCTAGAGCCATCATCGAGAACCAGAGGACCGCCAGAGTCGCCGCGACACGGGAGTCCCGCCCTGGAATCAATGCATATAAAGGAGTCCAGTACGAGCTTCCTTCTTTTCCCTTTGAGCTGCTTGTTCCATTGTTTCTCGCATTCCTCGTTGGTGATGATTGGAGCTCTGATGTACTGGAGGACACTGCTAGCTTGCTGCTTGCTGGTCAGACCCCAGCCGGAAATAATGGCCATCTTTCCCTCATAGGTGTTCCCCAGGTCGGGGAAAATAGCCGGCTGTATGCGGTCATTGAACGTTAGATCCTTTGGCAGCTTTATCAAGCCAATATCATTGGCTACAATTTTTCGGTTAAACCCCTTATGGACAATGGTTGCGCTCTTTTTGACTACAAATGGCTTACTCTCGTCCACTTCCAGACTTCCCACGTAGATAATCACTTTGCGTCTGCAAGAGAATCTCTTGTTAGTGCACGTTTCAAAGCAGGCTATTTATTGTTGGTTTTACTTACAGTTCAGAGCTCGGTTCCTGTAAGCAATGGGCTGCTGTTAAAATCCAACGTTTACTGATGACTGTCCCGCCACACAGATTCGGTTCATCCTTTGAGTCATCGAAGTAGCAAAGCAGACCCACTTGGTAAGGGAACTGCTTATCCCTAGCCGTGGTGCCATTCATTATGCGGAGATAGCCCATTTCCTGGCCAAAACTCAGACTTAGCTGGGCGATCAGACATACAAACAGCTGAAGAATCATTTCAACTGATTTATGGCTTGTGACCATCCCTTGGTTATATATGGCCTGCTCTCGAGCTATTAGCTCTACTGATTGCTACAGTTTAATGGCCCCGCAAGGCGTGCTCTGGCTCTTATCGAACTTTTGCATAATTCTCGAGTGCATTCGTGTTTTTTCTTTATTGGTTATTATCGTTACGTTGTTGGGTTATTTGGATACATGGCATTTATGGCATATTGGGATTGCATAGAGAGTTTGGGCGCACTTATTGGGAGACGCCAAACTTGTAGATGACTTCGTGGTTGTAGGTCCCGCCGGGGCGCAAGGTCGTCGATGGGAAGTTGCTGTGATTCACAGAATCGGGAAACTTTTGGGTCTCCAGGCAGAAGGCTCCATGCTTGGCATAGGCTGCTCCACTCTTACCGGGAATGGCCGCCTCTCCACGCTCCACGTCCGGCATAAAGTTGGCCGTATAAAACTGAACGCCTGGCTGATTGCTGACCACCTCCAGCCAGCGTCCACTGGGTGGATGCGTTGCTCTGGCCACTTTAGAGAAGGGCTGTGGCGGATCAAACTCCACACAGAAATTATCATCATAGCCACGGGCCGGTTGCAGCTGCTTGAGGCGCTCCCCGAGATTGTTGGGCACGCGCAGATCGAAAAAAGTTCCGTCCACCAGTGTGATCTTACCGGTGGGTATGGAGTCCTTGTCCGTTTCGGTGATGCCATAGGCATTGATCTCGATGGTGTGCTCGTAGAGACCGTTGGCACCCGCCTTGTGGCCAGCCAGGTTGAAGTACGAGTGGTTTGTGAGATTCACGGGCGTGGGCTTGTCACTCTCCGCCATCATCCGGACATGCAGGCAGTTGTCCTCACTGAGGGTAAAGTTCACTGTGGCCGTGACCTTGCCCGGATAACCTTCATGGCCATCGGGATTGGTGTGCGATAGTGTGACGCCGTCTTGACGCACCGAAACCACATCCCAGTGGGCCTTGTCGAAGCCCACGAATCCGCCATGCAACTGGAATTTGTTATCCCGATTCTTGGACACCTCCACCACCTCGCCATCCAGCCTGAAGCGTCCGTTAGCTACACGATTGCACACACGTCCAATGGTGGCCCCAAAGTAGGGATTCTTTTCGCTCTGATAACCCTCCAAGTCGTCAAATCCGAGCGTGACGTCGTCCAGCTGGCCGCGGGCATCCTCCGTCTTGACGCTGGTGATGGTGGCGCCCAGGGTGATCACCTGGACCGACATGCGACTGCCATTGGATAGCGTAAAGCGTCGAATGGGTTCCGTTTGCTTGGTAAATGGATTGACTGCTCCAGTAGCAAAAACATCCTCGGTGACGTGAACCATTTCGATCTCGATGCAGCTACAAAATGAACTTGCGCGCCGAGTGCGCTGGCATTTTTATCTGCCCTACTCAACGCTGTAGAGGTTAATCACCACTTAATATAATTTACGTGTGTGTAAGTATTCACACTCTAAATTATCGCAAAACAGCCGCAACCAACAATATATAAAAAAATATAACAAACATATGAAAATTGTGTCTTATCAGAAACAGGGCTGGAGAGGCCTTCGATAAGAGCGATGCACTTTAGCGAAATATTTATATTTATATATACTGTATGCGCAGCTTACCCAACAGGTGGTTCCTTGCTCACTATTTTACAGGAAATTATATTGGATTGGATTTACAAACAGCACTATTTTTCGCGGTTCAACGCAACTTGCACATGTTTAATGTTTTGAAAATAAGACGGTATATTTCGGTATATTTATGAACTCAAACACCTTGCATATTTTTATATATTTTATAGCATTTTTGAGGATTTAATAGCATTGCTAGCAGTATTTATATTTATATACTTTTTAGTATTTTCCAGTATTTTCAACAAACGTTCACGTTTCCCCTCAGGTGAGAGATGTAGTTAATATGTAGCCAATGTGTAGTTAGCGTGTAGTTACCATATAAAACAAATAATTTTGTGGAAATTATCGTTGATATTTTCTGTCTATACTTTATTTTATAAACAATCAGTTTCAGATAAGTACTTCAAATCGCCATTCTTGTATAAAATTGTTTACACTGTCGGATAAAATTATATGTTCATTGCTGAGGTTCCTTGCTAACTTCTAACTTTCAACCGAATATCCAAATCGAGAAATATGATGGAATATGAGTGCAAATAGTTCATCGGTATATTTCGGTATATTTTCAAGGGTCTGACCGTATATTGTATCGATAGATCCGCGGTCGACTGGTTGTTTATTAACATTTTTAAATGTTTATTTAGCAAATAGAAAGCTAACCGGTAGGAATTCCTAATCACTAGTTCATCCGTTCGGCAGGGAGTGTAGATAAAAACGCATTTTAGAGTCCGTACCCATAGCTGGCATACACAAAGTGACACTGAGATGAACAAATCCAAAATGCGATTGACGTGGCAACGAGAGCAGATTAATAATCTATTACTGACATTCGCTCTGATTTGTTGTTGCTGCTTGATCAAAGTTGCCTCAGCCCAAGAGGCGCAACAGCCGTGGTATGAGAATCTGCCAGCAGTTGCCATGGACTATAAGGTAAGGAGTACGCAGCATCAACACGACGTACGGAGTCTGAACAGCTGGAGATTATTGTTTTACTCTTTGCAGGTCCACATAGACGCTGGCAAAGAAGATTGCTATCATCAGTACGTACAGGCGGGGGCCACTTTCTATGTGTCCTTCAGTGTAAGTCCATTGATAGATACTATTTCTCTTTGATTTTCACAATTGTGTTCCCCAGGTGGTGCGTGGCGGCGATGGCATGGCCGGTTTTGCCGTGCGCAATCCAGCCAATGAAGTGGTGAAGCCCTACCAGTGGCAGGCCACGGCGGACTACACTGACCAGGTGTCGCCCGGCGGCTACTACTCCGTCTGCATTGACAACCAGTTCTCGCGATTCGCTGGCAAGCTGGTCAACATTTACATCACAGTAGTGAAGTACGATGCCTGGGACAAGTACGCCAAAGAGATTGAGCAGCTGCAGCTGAACATGCAAAACTTTACAGTAAGCAGAAACTGGTTTTGTTTTCCTAAGCCACACCCAAAAACTGAAACTGATCTACTTATTACCTTAGGCCACCATCGGTACTGTGGAGCGCAACATCAACGACATGATGGGCTATCAGGCGCATAGCCGGCATCGCGAGGCCCGCGACTATGCTCTGCTCTTGGATAATAACTCCTACATTCAGACTTTCTCGCTAAGCCAAATTGTGGTCATATTGATCACATGCTCCATTCAGGTGCGTTTAATCCACTATTTCATTGACTTCAATCTAATTTCATTGTGTTTTCCAGGTTTTCTTCGTGCGAAAGCTGTTTGATGTGAAATCTAATTCAAGGAGTCGCATTTAGAGATTCTCGGATATGCTGCACAATGACTTACTCTTTTTTTTTTACCTTCCCATCCGCACATTTCCAATACATTCATTCAACAGGATGAAGGCCGATTCCCTTCGCATTTTTGTAATTAATTTTATCACTGGCTAAACAGAACAAGTGCAAACTAGGCAGACTTTTGACGTATATATGAAACTACTTATGTTATGTCTTGCAAGTTATATACAACAAACTTATTGTGATAAGTGTAAATGAGTGTGTGTTTTGTTCAATAAAAATATTGAATAATTTTGTACTTAATGACGAATTTTTTTTGGGATCCAAGTTTTATTTGACTTGGCTAAAGCTATGGGAGCTTATGAGGGTGCTCAAGCACTGGAAGCTCTACAAGGACTTTCACCTTTACTAAGCTTCATATACCGTTACTTTTCCAAGGAATTTGAAAGCTTTTGCAGGCGAATTTCTCTAATACGAACATCCGTACAAAGAAGTTTTCTATGTAACGAATTTATTTCCAGAATACTGAAATGCTATATTCTGCAAAAATTAGATCTACATTACGAATTTTTCGCATAATAAAATCCCCTTGTACATCTATCTATACAGACATGTACATACATACATATGCATGTAGGTAAATATATGTATTGTACTGTACATATTATTGTATATGAAATACATGGTTATGGATCGTCGTCGTCGTCGCCCAAAATTCTACTATCACAGATATAAATGTATCTCACAGACGCAGATGTTTCTCAGTTACAAATGACCGACACGTTAGTTCTTGAAAAATTGCAGTTCATTGAGACAATTATTGTGGCTGCTTTAGCAAGTGAGACGGGGGTTGGCGCACAAGCGAATCGATTGTGCGGGGGGCTTGTCCCCTAGTATCATATAAACTTACATTTGATCCCATGTACAAAAGTGATTTGCGTTCAGAAAATTATATATATCATCTATTATTATGGATAGCTTTGAAATGGGTCTATACAGATTGTGTCATACTTGCCCATCAAACTTCAAATCTTTTGGCTAAACGTCGCACCTTGAATAACCTAATGAAGATTTCTTTGAATGTGAAGTCAATTATGATATACATATGTATATGATGTATATTTACATGTGTATATCCGCTTATCCTTATAACTTATAAAAATCTGATGAAAATATGCAAATATGCAAAATCCGAGGTCTAATTATAAGTTATAAGCTTATAACAGTTCTGTTGATATTGTGGAGAAAGCTTCTTGAAAAACTGTCATAATACTCTAAAAATTAAGGGTATGTGAGCCCAGAAGACGAAAGTGAAATAGCCCACAAACGCCAGCAATCCTAAAACCTATACACGCAGAATGTGAGAATACTTGTGCACCCATCCATTAAAATACGCTGGAACCTCAAGCGAAACACAAAACCAAGTTAAGCGAAGCGCTAAAAATAAAAAAATTTATTGTATCAAATATTTTTGAGAGATAATATTGTATGTGTGTTACTCAAACACATTCAAATGCACTGCTGGACCGGCTGGCTCGTGATGACGTGGCTCAAGCCGAACGCCACTGCTGAATACCAGGGACCCAATTCAGAAAATTCTTTTGGAATGTATTCGTTGTATGAACTGACACTACTGTATAGTTAGTGGCTCTACTTCAGTGCTCATTAACTAGATCTACGATTTGTAGACATTTTTCTTCCGCTTCATCTGCTCCCCTAATTATGAGATGGCAAATGAAGCTCCCCATTCCATGCCATATGCTAGCTTATCACAAATTATCCCCGCCTCGACACAGTACCTTAAATCATGTCACCGTTCTGGGCGCTTATCTATAAGTCATTTAACACATGTAGTACATACAAGTGTAAGCATGTGTGCGTGTACATGTGTGATTCAGTGGGGCTGTGGCATGTTAATTATATCCTTTTTGGCAGGCGCATCTCGAGATCTTGGGGCGTCTTTTGTGGCCACTTCGGCTTGAAATTAAAATGGTATTATGTGTGCGGCGAGGAGGGCTTATCGCTGGGCTGGGTCTTAAAGTCCTTGCTAAACTAAGAGCCTAATGGCCTCACACACTAGCGCACACACATGCACACACATAGATAAGAGTAGCGTGTGTTAGTACTGGCTCTTTAACTGTTTTAAACGCCATTGTTAAAATATTGCTCATACGCACTTCCGCCCAAAATGGGGTCTCTTCGCCAGCACTAATGATGCCCGCCGCCTGCTGCCACAGTGCTGCCCAAGAACATAGAGAAGAGCAGTCCAATGGAGCACCAGGAGCATCCACGGCGGCACAGTTTTGGCTCCGCCCATCTCGCAGCAGCAGCAGTAGAAGCAGAAGCAGAAGCAGCAGCCGATGACAGCACCAGATAAAAGGGCAAAGCAGGAGTGCGGAGCGCGCCTGCGCATCAACCACCGCAAGAACGGACGATGGGGTGACATCCTTGCTAGCAGCGTCGCGGTTGCTGATTACACACAGCTCCAAAATATAATGATTGTGGGAGGAGTGTGTGTTTGAGTCCGTGCCTCTGTCCGTGTCCGTGTCGCCATCTTTGAACGTTCAAGCGTTGTTTCGGACGGGATGATCTGGGCGAGCACCGGGCCACATTAACTTCGAGTGCGCGTTACCGTGCAACACGTCGCGGACGACATAATAACGGTATTTTGCGGTTAAGATTCGTCGGTTGCACGTCGTCAATATCATCCACATCCACAGGAAAGGCAAAGAAAACGAAACGTTCACTTGGCCAAGTGGGCAGCACACAAGAAAAATACTAGCGAAAAAAGAAAAGGGACAAGAAGGAAACACACACACACGTTACCCGTTAGTTGAGTGGCAAACTTGGACACAGACGCCCAGCTTGTTGCTGGCTGTGGGCGTGGCAATAGCAACCAAAACACACACGAACGAACAACTGCAACTGCAACACTCACATGTGTCCTCCTCCGTGTGTGTCGCGGATATTTTTGTGCGGAAATTATAGAAATTTCGCTTTTTGATTTCATTTTCATTCCGCTTTCGTTGGCGGCCCCAACTTCTCCGACTGCTACTCCCTTTCCTCCTATGCACCTGTGCGAACATCAAGGAACGCGTTCTTATCCTCGTCCTCAACGCCGTATACGTTGTGGCCTTCGCTGCCTTCGCTGCCGTCGGTGTCCAGTCTGCCTTGTCCTTGCACTGACAAATTTCCTTGCATATCCGCTACGAAACTACTACGGCGACATCAAATACAAACAAAACCTTTATTCGCGTGGCGCGTCGCTGTCGCGTTCACTTGTCGCATGTCCGTCGCCATTCTGACAATAATTTCATTTCCGGTCTGCAAATTGTACGCACTTGTTTTGAGTGATTAACGGCCCGTAACGATTGAGCCAACAAGTGAAGTGTTTGCGATTGAAACGTTACCTACACCCAACGGAAGGTCTTCAAGTCGAGTGCAGCTAAGACTACAAGCGGAGTAGTATTTTTGGATAAGCTCTATCAGAGAAACAGCCATAATCCTGAGGTGAGTGTGGGCTTCGGCTAAAGACCAACTTATAATTAAGATCATTTATGAGCTAGATCTTCTTTGCAAAGTATGTTCCCGTATGCACTTGGATGATCTGATGGACAAGTCAGAAATATGTAGGACATCTGGAAGTCAAGGATGGTTTTTCATATAGTCAAAACTTTGACGAGACTTAAACTCATTATGACGGGGTTTTTAAGGCACTTAGAGGTAGAACGATCTCAATGATGCCTATAATAACCAAGCAGAGAAATGAATGCTGAAACTAGATCCTCATATCTTTTAACTATTGGAACTATGTAGAAGGAGATGTAAAATTTTGAATTTCGATATGCCCCGAAACTTATTTATCCATTTGTAGGATTTACTCTTTTGGTTCCAAGCTATACCGTCTTTAGATGATCTGATGGGCAAGACGTTTTCGAAGTCAGCTAGTGTACGAGTAGTACCTGGATCTTGACACCTGCCTTTTGGAGCCTTATGCTCGGAAAATTCCATTTCCTAATTCCCCACTAATCAAACACGGCCACCCCACAAAACCTTCTATCGTTCGTACACTGTTAATCAAATTAGCAGACATACAACGGATATATTCATAAACCAGCAAACAAATCAAAGCAGCGCACACTGGGCGGAAATGCCATTTTTTGTCATTAACCTCCATAGTAAAGCTACATAGGAGACGAAACTTTGAATATTTCCAATCAGGCTCCACCCACACATAATGCATTTCAGTTAAGTCTTTAATGTTTTTAATGTATATCCCCTACCTCTTCGCTGTGGCGCACTTTGTGGTTGCAAACCACAAGCAAACCTTTCATATAAGTTTAATTGCGCAATACTTGTGGGTATGATCTTCTTCCGTTCTCCCCAATGCCGACTTCCCACATCATCCGTCTACCGCTACGCCTGTGGATTCTTAGTCCATTTCTAAGCCGGACTTATGCCCGTTCTTCCTCAGTACTCTTCGAATGCCATCTTCTAAATCCTTCTCTACTGCTGTACCCTAGTCGCTTAATCTGTTCCTGATTTTTTACAACTTCGAAATGATTCGCAATGAATTATGGCAGTGTCAGAAAAAATCTGATCTTTTGATTTACTGATTTATTTGATCCAATAAAAAACCACAGGAATATTTTCAAATCAATCATTAAACATAATTTGTATACATATATGTATGTAAATATATATGAATACAACCTCTCACTCAAATGAAAAATTGTCATGGACTTTAAAATCGGTATCGTCATCTGCTGATCCCTCTGCTAACTCAATTGCTGGTAGTCCCCTATTTGCAATTCTTTTTTGAGCTCATGCCAGTACAAATTCATCGGATTCGCTTGAAACTCGTCACTCGGTTTTCGAAGTTAATAATTACGAAACTGAAGTCAGTTTTGAAAAATTAAAAATGGCGGCTCCAATAAGGCCGGATTCACCTAAAACTAATAACTCCCCGAACTTGCTACATCTACATCTAGAAGAGAAAATATCTCAATACATCTTGAAACTAGAAAACTAATATCAAATTCGTAATCAGCGACCCCAAAAGCCCCCGATTGACGAGTTTTAAGCAAAATTTGTTTAATTGAACTTGTTTGCTACTTGAATGAAAGAACTATTGAAATTTAGTCAAGCTTGCCTAGTAACTTTTTATTGATATTCAATATAGAGGTAAATAGTTTATCATTTGAAAACGCTCTTCTCGCCGTATTTCCATTATTGGAATTTCCAGGGCTATTCTAACTTGATTTGTTTATATTTGATCCCATTTCAGTCGAAAGTTTGCCTTCCATTTGGATTTTTTCGAGTCATTATTGCGGCTTTTTCTGAATCCCTACTGATTTACCATTTCTGAGGACCAATTCGTTATGATATGTATAAAACGAACTGCATAATCTCGAAGTAGTCTCTGGAGAAGAATCTTGATTTATTTCTTCGCATATCCAGTCAAAAGTTGCTTTCAACCAAACTTCCAGCAAATCGCCTCGACGAATATCGACCTTGTCTGAATCTATGAAAATAGTTCGAAGGTGCAGAAATCTTACTTCTTCTGCACCACGAAAGGTAACTAGTTTGAGGTAGGCCCTAAAATGTCTAAAGAATTCTAACCAATATACTAAATACCTTAATGTACATTTTCCATAATAAACAACGTTGTTTGGTTCTCTTAAATGGAAATCGCTGAAATTCGAACATTCGCAATGTTTACTCTCAGAAACAAGGAACGTTTAAAGGGTTTCCAAAAATCCAAGGATGGCCATTTAATGAAGGGGAATAATAATAAAATTGTAAAACTATAACAAAATAATTTTGAGATAAATGCTAAAAAATCGGCATTCCGCCCAATGTGCAGCGGCTGCAACAAAATCATCATCAGTTCGACAAATAAACAGCTCACTAGTCGCATTATGCAGTGAGCTCCGAAAGCATTCAAAAATCTGTAAATTCCTGAAAATGAACAATCAAACCCGAGAGCAGTGAAATCTTACAAACCATTAATGAGGATGCGAGCGTGTGGCCTCTTAATTAAAAGATCTCTCTCGTTCTACAAGGGGATTATACCATTAACAGATGCTCGCTGGCAACTCGATTCGACCGAAGCATAACTCACGGCAGCCGCCCGGCAATCATTCCACTCCACACGCGTCAGAGAGCGAGACGAGCATTCAGGCCATCTCCAGGCCGACATCCTGGCATCCCGCTCGTATTTCCGGTGTGCGCGCGCTCGCAACGATTGTGATAGCTACGCACAAAAAAGATGTCTGCTCGCTAATGTTTGTTTGGGGAAATTTGCTTACATTTGCTTACAAGAAGAGCCAACCCGAGAGCCCGAGCCCGACCCCGAGCCCGAGCCAGGGCTCAAACCCGAACCAAGTACAAATAATAAATAATAAATGAGGCGTGTGCAGACCGTTTATAATGTCTGACAAGGCAAAAGTTGATGATGTTGTGTACGAGATGCAACCGTCCGATAATGAAATCTATTCCCGCTGATGCTGCCCAAGTTAAAGCCGTCTCGATTTCGCTTTTGCTTTTGCGTTTGGGGGAAACTTTAAGCCAGAGACAGTGGAAGTCGCACGTTGTGTGGCATAAATTTCGTTGGCATAAATCAAAATTCAGCAACTTCCGACGAGGGCAGAGTGCAAAAATTTGCATGCCCTGTGCTTCTGCTTCTGTTTCTGCTCGTGCCAGTGCTTGTTCCCGGGGCTAACTGCAGACTGGCCAAAAAGGACACAGCTAACAATGGTCTGCACTCTCTGCTTTACCCTCTACCCCCTCTATGGACATTAGAAATGCACGCTCAAATGGCTGCCACCCACGCACAGTACGGCCCAGCACTCATACGCAACGTTGGCCTAGTCTAAAGAGCAGGACTGTACTCGTACTCGTACCCGTACACACAATAAATAACAAGCCAGATAATTATGCACGTCGTGCCTATATCTAAAGGAGCCCCACTTGTCCGCTCCAACCAGCCACCACTATTAATTATGCTGGCAAAAAGAGCGTGAGGCCTGAAAGGGAGAGGGAGAGGCAGAGGGAGAACTGCCAAAACGTGTTGGAGCCTTGGCAATTAGAGCGGTTGTTTGGCCCAAGAGACCTCTTAAAATTGCAGTCTTTAATTGTGGGCCAGGCTTTATGATTTATGAATATCTTTCCGTAGCTCTGTAGTTTGCTATGAGGTGAGTGCTTGGGTATATATTTAGATTACTTTCAAGTAATTACAATACAATTTTCCAACTAAAGTGTAGACTTTAAAGATTGTTTTCTACGAATATCTGTATAAATCCATGAAAAATATATACTAAATACTAAATATATACTCATTCAATTTCTTTCCCCAAAATCCTTTAGAGTCAAGTGGAATCCATTGTTCAGCCAACAGCCAGCCATTGAGGCTTCTCAGGCTTGCGCCATGTACGAGAACTCGTGTTCGTATCAGACGGCGCTGGACCTGAAGCGTGTATCGCCACCGACACTCGCCCAGGTGAAGACCGAGGACTGCCTGACGCTGGGGCAGTGCTCGCCGGACTGGACCTCGTACCGCTTCCATCAGTCCACCTTTGAGCAGCTGAAGCAGAGCGTGGAGAAGGCCAAGGCAGCGCTGCAGGATCGCAGCAGTTTCTTCGGGGCCACCAGTGCTTTCAGGTGAGTCATTTGATCCTTTAGAGATGCTCCAGCATTACAGATCTTTCACATCCACAGCGACATTTACTCCAGCCAGCGCCTGACAGACAGCCTCGACACCCTGCCCGTTCAGACCGGGAATGGAGCTGGCAATTGCCTGGGTTTGCCGCACAATCACGGCCCTGGTGTCGGTGTGGGCGTCGGCGTTGGTGTGGGCGTGGGTGTAGGCGTGGCCGGAGTGCTCAACTACAATGCGGTGACTAGCAGTACGGCCGGAGTGAACAGCAGTGTGCAGCGCCATCGTCTGGATACGTTGCAGCCACCCGCTGGGTGTTCGCCCGCCGGCACACAGCATGGCGTCATCACGTCCAGTGCTGGCCAGGTCACATCCGGCACTTTGGATGCGGTTAGTGCGGCACCGGCATTGCCGTCGCTAACGGCGTCCAGCACATCCCATGTGGAGCACAAAGTCCGAGCAGGTAAGGAACGAGCAGATGATGACGATATAAATCCGCGGAGGATCAGCCGTTGAAACACATTCTCCATTCGACCCAAGTCCACCCACCAACCCACTGACCTTCTCGCAATTGTCTAGCACAAAAATGTCAACGAAATGGCGGAAAAACAAATCCTGCGCTTCCGGTCAAAGGGAAAACGAATCCCCAAGTGGCAAAAGGACGAAAATGAACTGCCGAAAATGTTGTGCCACAAAAGTGGCAAATTTCGCGTATTTATTTAAACACATCCAAACAGCATATGTGCCATACCCACCGCCACACCGCCACACCTCCTCTCCTTCTCACGAACCTCCTCCGCTAGTTCAGGCCAAACGAATATGTCCGAGCCCCGTTACATTTAATGGCCAAAACAATGGCCAAAAACCGCGACCAGCCATGTACATAATTCCGCTTGTTCTACCAACAACTGGAAAAATGAAGCAACACACAAAAAAAAAAATATTCCACAAAAAATTTAAATTGAATTATCCATATAAACGTTGAGGTCTTTTGGGGTCTCGCTTCTATTCTCGCTCTTGGGGTTTATTTTTTTTTCGGTTACATATTTATCAATTTAAGCCGGCTGGGCGGATGTGGCTTATAATGTGGCCCTTGGTCGGTGGCTGTTGCCCTGTTCTGTTCTGGCCTCTGCTGCTGTCCGCTACCAGGTTTTGATAGAACCATCAAAACTGAACAATTTCATCGCGTGCTTGGCAGGAGTTTGTTATGCCGTGAAAGTCCCAGTCAAGCGCTGTCCATGTCCATTTATTTCTATAAGAAAGTTTCTTTTTTGGCAAATTTATGCCCTGGCTATGGCTCTTGTTTTCTTTTTGCTTCGGTTTCAATTAGACAAGACTGACAAGGCCTCCGACTTGTCGGTGGTTCTTTTGGCTGAGGGACAAGTTGTTTGTTTGACTGCAAAATGCTGTACATTTTAAATGTTGTCTTATTATATCACAGACTTTAAGATGATTTTTCTTATCGTTGTGTGTAAGCCCTGTAGACAAGTTCTGTCTTTTCTCATCGCAAATGGAAGACACAAAATGGCCGCCAACTCATTTTCCTCCCATCTCATTCCGAAGCGCTCAAGCAAATATGAAATGAATCCTTTTCAGCTTCTGCCCCCACGGCCCCATCTCTTTCTTCTCTGGTCTCCCTGTCTCCTCTCACTCTGATGCTGTCAACTGTAGCTGAGTTTTTGCCGCTGCCTTTGGCATGAAAAGATTTTTTCATGCGTAACTCATTATTTTTTGTGCTGAACAGAAAAGACGTTTGGCTCACAAAAGCACATAAAAAATAATTACACTTGCCAGCCAACACAAGGCACAGATATAAGTACATATACATACAAAGACGATTATATAACAGTCAGATATGAAAAACGTTATAGAAAGACTTCTCAAACGTTGAACTAAATGGTAAAATATACTATTGGAGAAAATTGTCTGAAAAACGAAGAGCAGACAAAGATGGAACATCTTAGACCATGAAAATGTGGATTCCTGTAGTTGTATTTAAAATCATATGTATATGATTATCATGATCCATATCATCTTCCTCAATATCTTATATATTATAGATTATTAAATCTTTCTCATTTATTCGAGTCAGAATATTCCCCATTTTCCATATTCTACTGATTGGGAAATAGCTTTTATATATATACATAGAACTTCTGTGACTACATTCGCTGATATAATCTTGGACACTTTCTCATTGAATTGCCACTTTCTCTTAGTTTAAAACAGTCTGTTTGGTTAATCGAAAATCTAGTATAACGTGAGACTTACTCATATCCCTAAACATTTCCCCCATCCCGCTCAGAAACTGCAATTATGACACAGTCCATTTCCAGACAGCTCTCATGGGAGAACATCGTCCTCTCATGATACCCATCATCTTCATGGCTATCATTATCATAGACTCGTATCACATCCGGCTTGACATTTCAATTGAAAGCGTTGCAAATTTCTCTTGGTATTTTTTGTTGTTCGTTGTTCGTTGGCTGCTGGCTTATTGTTGTTTACATCAAACAAAGATTTACGGCAATTAAACATCTCTCGATTGGATGGTGTCCTCTGGCTTCTGCCTGGCGACTGGTCTGTGAAGTGACAACCCTCGCGATTATGTCCTTTGCGGTTCACAGGATCTGTCAGCGAGTCAGAGGCGACGGTGAGGGAGAGGGTGCGCTGGTTCGTGTCGAGCGACGTTGCGTGACGCTGGGGCACCACCCATGTTGTGACTGCAGGGGGAGGGAGATAGAAATGGAAACCATAATTCGGGCAATAAATAAACCAGTCGCTAGTTCTGATGACAATTATCTATGCCGAGATTTATGATTTTTTCCCAGCTTCCACTTCTATTGCTTGGCATACGAGAGTATTTTTACTTTTTTTCATTCACTTCCGTGGCAAAAGGCGAAGCGTGCCGTGCTGAGTGTGCAAATTTTCGCTGCCTGGCAATTAAAGTATCCTTTTGTTTGCTTCTTTGCTTCTTGCAGATAAATCCTCGCTGGACTGCGCCACAACATCCTCGCACTCCGCCGTGCCCTCGTCCTCGTCCGCCTCCAGCGACCAGCATCAGCAGCAGCAGGGCAGGCACAGCGGAAGTAAGAGCAGCAGCAGCAGCGCCGGTGGTGCAGGAGGAGGAGGCGGTGTCGGTGTCGGTGTCGGTGGAACAACAGCAGGAGCAGGCAGCTCGGCACTGTGTAAGTTTCAACTTTGTGACTATGTCAAAAATGTCCTTTGAGCTTTAGTGACAGCTTTCAGTCAGGACAGCAACCTGAAGTCTCATTGTTCACACAGAAGAGGGCGCTGATGTGCTCTGTTCTGTGGGGAAGGGGGTGGCATGTCCTTGACGAGAACATTTGATTTTCCAGGGGGTGGTTTGGTGGAAAATTGTTCACTGTGTAGAGGAGAAAAGTTCTAAAAGGTTATTCTGAAAGCTAAGGAAGTAGTACTTCATGGCATGTCCTTACTGTATTTTGGAACGTTTTCATAGATACATTCTAAGAAGAATTTCGATGATTAACTTCTTACAAAGGTTGAAAGGTTCTCTTATCTTCAGATTTATAGGATCATCATTGTGATATCTTAGTTGCCAAAAACATTGCAGAATGCAACACATGAACGGAGCTAAAGATTTTTTATAGAGAAGCTGCAATGAAATTCGGAACAAGCTCATATAGAAATCAATCATAATGTGGCTAAAACATTAATATTGGCACTAAAGAGGCAACTACCGAAGCTAGTCGTAATACCTTGAGAGTTTATGAGGCTTCATCTTGCGTCCAACCTGGTAGAAATGGGAGATTTCTCCAGGTATTACTCCACGGTTAGCTTCGGTAGTTGACTTTTTAGTGCCACTCTTCATGTTTGAAGGACCCTCGCAACCATAACATCACCTTCTCGTCCTCTTGACGAAAGTCCTGAAAATAAAAGTTATATCCGAAAAAGTCAGCCACTCAGAGTTCCAGGTCAGACAATAAAAGGATTGTGAAAATATGAGCTACATATCTTCATTCATATCTATCAACACCTGGGACTAATTATCTTATTTGCAAGAGCTTCCCATTATAGTTCTCCCGATCCATCTGCACATCCATGAGAACCAGTGCTGATATCTCAATTGCTCACTTGACTTAATGCCTTAAGCCTGACTAATGCGCGTAATCTGGGATACGAACCATTGCCCTGGTCCCTCTGGGAACTGAATTTGAGTCTATTGACAGTGGGAAAGTTGGCAAACAAAAGCCTGGACGGCCTTCTGTTAATGTTCATTGTCCAGGCCGACTGTAAACATACAAAACGCAACAGTCACAACATTCCCTCTCGGAGTCTCTCCGTCAGCCTGACTCTCTGTCTATCTGTGACTGCCCCCGTTGATAATTTGACTCTTAAGTGCTCTTCAGCGGTAATCCTATTAAAGCGTGTTAGTCACACGCTCACACAAACACACTTCACAGGGAACGTGAAGTGAAGTGTGTGCGGCCAGGACGAGGACAACCCCCGAGCGCATCCAGACATTCTGGCTACCAGTCGTCGAGCAGCGCTCGAGGGATGGCCAACGAGCAACAATGAGGCTAATCGACAGATCATAAAATGATCAAAATGTTATGTGAAGCGCATTAGGGCGCACGCGTCCTTGACAGCGTGGTAGATACAACAGATAGGAGAGGAGTTCCCTGGATGGGACTCAATTGGATTGGATTGGCTTGGATGTGTGTGGGATTCCCTTCTTGCACGGACAATTGAGCGGTTAGGTGTGCATAATGAGAAAGGGTAGGGTGGAGAACGGGAGCATGATATCGCTAACATCCATGATTGAGTGAGTAACAATTGATAGAATTTATTGTTTATTATATGTATGATGGGATAGATTTATGCTCGTTGATTGCGTGTTTAATTATATGGATGGAACACATGTAACTGATTGATTTATACTCATAGAAAAATTGATGATTGGTTAGTGAGGTTATAGAAGATTAAAGAGACTTGCACACAAAGAGAAAGTTCAAGCTGTTATCTTAGCCAAGCCAGGCCTTTCTCTAACTCTCAAATAATTAAAATGTTTTCCCTCTATATATTTAAGTATATTTCTCAGGAGCGGGTCTCCCTTTCTGCTTTTATATTACAATCCTTTCTCTGCCATTTTTTAATTATATTTTAAATTCTGTAATCATATTTCTGATGTCTATCATCATCTGTCGTTTGTTTATTCGCTATGGTTGCTCGCACACACACACACACTCGTAATGCTCGACGGTAATCGTAATCACATAATCTGGACGCCATCCCACGCCTCTCCATCAAAACGCGCAGCGGGTGGCACACCCCCTTTGGCCACCCACAAGTAAGCGCCACATTGTGTCTCTCAGCCTCCCTCCGTGTCGCTCTCTGTCTCTCTCTCTCTCTCTCTCTCTCCACGTTGCCCAGTCGCTGTCTCGTGCTGTTGCCCAGTTTCGGTCTCTATCTGACGCCGTATGTTTCGCTCACTTCAAATTTAATTCCTGATTTCATTTGCGCACAGTTTATTCTTCGTTTCGTTTTTTCACCCGTAATTGTTTCAGGCTGTGAAAATAAATTGAAAATGCTGCTGTGCCAACTGGCGCCGGGTCCGTAGCGATGCCGGGGCCGTGCCGCACTGAGCCGGGGCCAAAGGACGGTGAAGTCCTTTTTGACAGCTTCGCGGGCTGACGCTTACGCTTAAATTTATTCGCTCATATTTATTAATATGGCAAGCGAAAAAAGAAGAATACATGAATATAAAGAAAAAGCGAACTTGGCCAACTTTCTGGTGCTGGAAAAACTCCGTTTCCCAGGGCTTCCCTGGCTCATGTCCGCTCATGTGCGAGTGTGTGTATACGCGAGCCTATTGATGTCCAAATATTTTTATTCATGGCCCTTTTCGCGGTTCACTTAACTGCCGATTCCAGTCATTACCCCCCTTTGAGATTCAAGCACGAGTCGGTCATAAATCACGTCATTGTTGGCCCAACCCCTGAGGACCAGCACTAGCGTCGTCACCGCCTTTCGATGACGGCAACAAGCTGGAAAATATACAATATTTTTTGCTAATTTAGTTTTTCAGTCCAAGCATTGATTTCGCACTGATAGACAAACAAATTTTCCTGCGCGAACAAAAGCGCAAAAACTTTACAAAAATAATTAAAAAACGCGGTGCACAAAGTCTAATAGAAAACTGTCAGCGAGTGCAACAGGTCGGCTTCCGCCTTCGAAGGCCTCGCTTTTTTGTTTGTGATTTATGCCGCTGGAAATGACCCGCTTCCGACATGAAATATAAAAAAAAACAAACAAATAACGAAAAAAAAAAAGAGAAAATATATAGGAAAAATAGGAAAATACAAGCGGGAGAGAAAGGTAAAAGAAAATAGAAAAGCTGCGGCGCACTTGAAAGTTTTAGACGAAGGAAGGGGGAGCACCTCCAGAGAGCAGCCTTTACACGGCGGAAACGCAGCGCACCCAGAGCCGGAGGTGACTGTGTCGAAGCGTCTCCGGTCTCGGTGTGGGGCCAAAAAGCGAACTGCAATTTAGTTGTCAATTGAATTTATGAGCTTGTTGAATTTATGGCCACTATGGCACTGCACTACACTACTCTCCACGGCTTGCCGTTGTTCGGACGTTTTATCTCAAGTGACACAACTCACGTGAGAGGAGGCCGTGGGAGAACCCTTGACCCGCCGACCCTCTAGAGTCAATCTGCGTTATCAATTGACAGCGAGGGTCGCTCGGAGTCGAACCGCAGTAATTTATAGCCCTATACAGAGGCACGAGAACCATATAGACCTCTACTTTTACCTCTACCGCCGCCGCCACCGCCACCACCACCCCTTTTGCGATGGCAGTTTGTATGTTAATTGTTTGTTTGCTGTTTGTTGTCATTGGCTCTTAAGTGGCGCGGGGTGGAGATGTGGTTAAGGGGTGTGCACCCCACGGAGGGAATGCCGTGTGAATATGCTAGCTTTCAGTTTATAAAAGAATCACACAAAAAAACAAGAACCAAATGTAAACGAGCTGTCCTGCAATTATCTCCGAAAGTCAAACGTTGGTAATCGGAGTCGTCGTCGGAGTTCAGGCAGGACACGCACCATGAACCCTGCACCCGTGGCACCCGTGGCACTCGTGCCACCCTTCCACTGCTTCTGCTGTTTATCAATCGCGCAATTATTGCTTGTATTGTTCAGATAGACATAGGCAGCCACGAGGACACTTTCAATATGTTTCTGTGAGAATTCCCTTCCTTCTCACCCTCACCCTCCACCTCCACCTCCCCCTCTCACGCTTTTTGCCTATTTGTTCATGTCCGTAATTTGTTTTTATTACAATTTTCACTTTCATTTCGTGGGCTTACCTTTTTTCTGTGGTTCTTTGTGGTTAGGGATTGTTTGATTTGGCGTGTTCCCTTTATTTGTGTGAATTCAAAGTTGACATTGTTCTTATTTTTGTGGGAACAAGTTTCAGGGAGTCATCTAGATCTGTTGGCATTGATAAGGAAGGTGTAATAGGTGTCGACAAAGGAGCGGAGGAGCAGTAGAGGGAGGACCAGATCAGGGAAAGTTTATGGAAAGTTAATGCTCCGTACATGATAATTATTGAGAGACTTGATGTAATATCTTTAGATAAGATAGACGAAAAGATCAGAAGCCCTGATGAATCATATCATCAGAATTATAGATGTGATCCTAAGAATATAGAAGGGAAAAAGTATGAAACAAAAAACTATATCATTTTTTTAAAGATGTTTTCTTAGAGAATATAGAAAGTAAAAAGTAAACACATGTAAATGGGTTTTTGTGACTGTAAAATGTTTGCACACCGATTTTCATCAGTACGAACAGCAGTTTGGTCAATTTGTGTGTGTGTTATAGTTAACAATGCCATGAACGAATAAAGAAAGAAACATGCGTAACATTAGAGCAGAAATAACAGGCGAACGAGTCCAAAAAGATAACGAAAGTATGCGTGTGAGCATGTCGCTGCAGCGTGAATCTCAATCACAAGAGCCACGAGATGAACGAAATCAACATCGACATTTGGAGCGATTACAAGCGCGCCGGTACGTAATTGACACTCACAGAGAAAGTGGCAGATAACGCCAAAAAGTGCATTCAGAATTTACATCCGCTTCGTTTCTTCGTCTCGCTTTCGAGTACGAGCGTAATATTGAATATTTCGCTTATCCGAAAGT